TGGAGGCTGGTCATCAGGAGAGACCACCTCCCCCCAACAGAGGACATCCTTGCAGTTGTCAGGAGAGGAGAAACCCCACCGTCAGACCACCTTGCGAGCCAAGACCCAGTTGATTTATCCATATATATAGAAAATGTAGTCTTAATTGGTATAATAATATCCATAACTAAATATATATTTTTTAACTTTTTATTGTGGAAAAGTTCAAACACAAAAAGTAGAGAGAATTGTGTAATGAACCCCCATGTATCCATCACCCACCGTCATTAATGATTAATGTTTATGATCAGTATTCCACCACTATGTTTTGTTTGCTCTTAGGGATTTTGTTTTTGCCAGAACAGTTTTTTTTAAAAAAAATCCCAGCTGTTGTAAACATTTTACTTTTATGAAATTAGACTTCTTTTATAAATACAACCACAATGCCATTACATCCCCTAACATAATTGAGAAGGGTTCCTTAGTATGATGAGACATCCAGTCCAGATTCAAATTCCCCTATGGTCTTAAAAGTATCTTTTCACTGTTGCTGTGTGTAACTTAGAATCAAAGCAAGATCTACACAGATGATCTGTAGGCACAGTAAGAAACAAAAGTGGCCCTGGCTAGTCTGCTCAGTGGTTAGAGAGTCAGCCCGTGGACCAAAGAGCCTCGGGTTTGGTTCCTGATCAAGGGCATGTATCTGGGTTGCAGGTTCTCCCTGGCACTGGGCCACGTGTGGCGCGTGCAGGAGGCAACCAATAGCTGTGTCTCTCTCACATGGATCTCTCTCTCTCTCTCTCTCTCTTTCTCTCTCTCTCTCTCTCCCCCTCTCTCTCTCTATCTCTCTCTCTGTCTCTCTCCCACCTCCCTTTCACTCTTTCTAAAAATCAATGGAGTAAATATCCTCAGGTGAGAATTAAAAAAAAAAAAAGAAAGAAAGAAAGAAAGAAACAAACAAACAAACATGGCCATACTAGAAAAGAGGCTCTGGATTTGCAGTTCCACTCTCACCAGATGTTCTCAGAGCCACCCTGAGGGATAGAGGCCACGTCCCCTCTGGCGTAAGGGGGATGGGACCATGTGCCCAGAGCCGCTTGCCTGCAGTGGGAACCCAGACAGGCCCAACTACCCCTCGTCACACAGTTCTATATGGTTGTAGAGCGAGGGCTCCTCAGCCTCAGGGCGCAGTCCAATAACCTAGGAGCTTCCATGGCCAGGCCGCTCCTGACGGGCCACCACCCAGCTTCAGTATTTTCAAATCCCTCCAGGAAATGCTAACAGGCGGCCAGTGCTGGAAACCTCTGTCGCAGGGGTTGGGTCCTCCATGTGTCCATGTTCCACTCAAGGTCAAAGTGAGCTCTGTTTCTAGCTGTCGCCATTCAAAACACAAAATTGATGTTCTCTGGAACTAAACAGAACCACCACTTGCCCTCCTTTTCAAACCAGAGAATAAAAATTTGGTTTTAGAAAAAGAAAAAAAACCCCACAAAATCGAGTTCCAGTTCACAGGCTTGCTGTTTCAACATCTTGATCCTCAAAATAGTTGCAAGGAGAACCAGAGAGGTGTTCCTCCTGAAGTCCTCCAGTACTTTTGAAGTCATCATGTGAATTTTTGGAAATCAAGTTAGGGGTGCCAGCAGCAGAAATCCAGTTCTGGCATTTACCCTGGACCCGGGAATGGGTAACCTGGCTTTTCTGCAGTCGGCTCGGGCGGGTCGGTGCTCTCGTCTGTGGGTGTAGAACTGATGTTTTGTAGGAGCCTGACACAGTGGAGGGGGAGAGGACGGGCTGTCCTTGCTATCTGGCGTTAAGAAGAGGATGTTTCAAAGAAGAGGTGTGCTCTCACCCTCTCCTTCCAGGGGAGGTGCGTTTGGGCAGGTGGAAAGCTGAAGAAGGGGATGTCGTGGAGAGAGCTGCCTGGAATGTCCCCCAGGATGTTTAGGAAACAGTGTAGAGAGAAATCAACTCAAGTGCACTGGGACGCGTCACCTTTGGGTGAATAGAGAGGCGGGACTGGGGGGGGGGGGACGCGGGGCGGGGTAAGGCCACGGAGTAGCAATAGCATCTTCAGTGACAAAGTAACAGTATAATTTATTTTGTGTATTTTTAAAAATATTTTTTATTGCCCTGACTGGTTTGGCTCAGTGGATAGAGCGTCGGCCTGGGGACTAAAGGGTCCCAGGTTCAATTCTGGTCAAGGGCATGTACCTTGGTTGCGGGCGCATCCCCGGTGCAGGGTGTGCAGGAGGCAGCTGGTCGGATGCTTCTCTCTCATCGATGTTTCTGGCTCTCTATCCCTCTCCCTTCCTCTCTGTAAAAAATCAATAAAATATATTTTTTAAAAAATATTTTTTATTGAATTCAGAGAGGAAGGGAGAGGGATAGAGAGTTAGAAACACCAATGATGAGAGAGAATCATTGATCGGCTGCCTCCTGCATGCCCCCCACTGAGGATTGAGCCCACAACCCAGGCATGTGCCCTGACGGGAATTGAACCGTGACCTCCTGGTTCAGAGGTTGACTCTCAACCACTGAGCCATGTCGACTGGGCTATTTTGTGTATTTTTGAGAGGAAAAAAAGGGCAATGTGATTGTTGAGTAGAAGAAAGACTCTCAAGGAGAAGGTGGGCATCCTCTTGACCAAAACATTTGAACTTGTTCTTTCATCTCTTCCTTGCAAATCCTTATGCTACTACAATGCTTAGAAAAACTTTGGATTGGTATCATACAGACTTGGGTCTACTATCATTCAAATGGTGTTCCCCCAAGTAGATCTCCCCATTTAAAAAGTTAGCAGCACTTTGGTGAGTCTCCGAGGCAAGTGTCTGCGTGGTCTCTGCTCCGGCCCCTGTGTTTTAGGTCTTCAACTCCCAGGTCTCCTCTAATCACACCTCCCCATCCTGTGTCCCTTCAAGCCCCCAGGCCTCACCAGGTGCCTGGTTAACTGATCTCAAAAAATATATTAAATCAGAATGTTAAATATTGATAATACAAAGTACTCATGCAATTGTGTCAAGAGGGAATCTGGCAAAGGAAACGATATTCAACTCCATTAGTAACCAAAAGAATGCAAATGTAACATGATTTTGAGTTCCAGAACAAAGGTGAAAAAAATGGCAACACTAGAGGTTGGGGGACTTCAGAGAAATGTGGCCTGGATGTTGGTGGAAGTGTAAATTGGCACAATTTCTGGAGAACAGTTTGGCAATGTATGCCATATACTTAGAAATATGCAGACAGCAATTTCTCTGTCTCTGAGAAATAACCTCTGAGAGCTTATTCTAAGGAAATTATTGGGCAGGGGCCAAGGATACTCAAATCAACCTATTTATAATAAAGAATAATTAGAAATAATCTAAATAAATGTCCACCAAGCGAGGATTATTTGTATCAATTATGGTCCATTCAGACAACAAAGTACCAAAGAGACTTTAAAATGATATCAATTTAATAAACATGAAAGGATGTCCATGAGATATTACCCCCTCATGGTGTCAATAATGTAAAATTGTGTGTGCAGACGTGTGTTCATGCACACAGAGATCTACAATGATAGTCATCAAAATATCCACCATGGTGTCTTCTGGTTGGGAGATCTTTGAATGCCTTTACCTTCTTATTTTTTATTGTTTCTAAAATTTCGAAAGCAATGTGTCCTGACCTGGAATCAAACCGTGACCTCCTGTTAAGAGGTCAAGGCTTAACCACTGAGCCACATTAACTGGGCAGGTTGGTCATCTTTAAAACAACTCCTCCATCAAAACTCAAATTCCCATGGGGGTCCAGGTTGTTTTCATGGTCCCTTTGTCTGTCTCTGGACTGGAACCACACGTTTTAATGACTGAAGCTTTTTAGAAAGTTTTATATCTACTAGAATCATGCCCATCCCCATTCTTCTCCTTTTTCAGACTTTCCCCACCATTCTCAGTCGGTACTGTTTTCAGAGGAACTTTAGAATTAGGTAGTCACGGTCCACAACACTCCCTTGGGGGTTTGATTGGAATAGCTGGAAGCTCCCCCCTAATTTGGGGCTGACATCTTACAGAGCTGCGCTCGCGGACCTTGCGCTCCAGTAGCTCTTCAGGCGATCAGGTGCTGCCCCCTGCAGGGAGGCCGGGCAGGTGCTACTTCTGTCCAGGCCTTCCCGCTCAGCCCGCTCCACCCAGCTGACTCCAAGGCTCCTAGAAAGGACACATTCTCACACATCTGTGGTCTAACGTCTTTCCTTCCCCAGCTGACATTTGGATTTTAACCTGAACGTTCAGGATAAAAGTCTAGGGCACATGCTTGGGAACCACAGGTCCTGCCATAGAACCCGTCAGGAAATGCTCCCAGCAACCACACCCCATGAGGCAGACACTGCACACACGAGTGACCAGCCCCAGGTAACCAGGTTCCAACAGGAACTTTAACAGCTTTGTTGTTCTAGAACACCGTCAAGCTCCCTCATTGTAAGTGTGCAGTTAAAGGGTTTTTAGTACCTGTGCAAAGGGGTGCAACCATCACCAAGTCCAGCTTCAGAGCATGCCCACCACCCCTGCAAAAGACCCCTGTGCCCATTTGTGGTCATTCCCTGGACGCCACTTTGCTCTGAGCACGACAGCACCAGGAGGAGTGGGGACAGAGGGAGGGGGTCTCTGAAAGATCCTCCACCTGTGAGTCTAGTAGACTCCAGACCAGCGGTTCTCAACCTGTGGGTCGCGACCCCTTTGGCGGTCGAACGACCTTTTCACAGGGGTTGCCTAAGACCATCCTGCATATCAGATATTTACATGACGATTCATAACAGTAGCAACATTACAGTGATGAAGTAGCAACGAAAATAATTCTATGGTTAGGTCACAACATGAGGAGCTGTATTTAAAGGGCCCGAAGGTTGAGGGCCACGGCTCTAGAGCCAACGCCCCAGCGCCGAGCACAGAATAACTTGCAGGCCAACACCCTCTTCTGAGGAGACCCAGCTAGGGGCCCCTCCTGAGGACCCTGCCCACGCTGAGCCCCATCCTTACCCCTCCCAGGTGGATAAAGTTTGAAGAAAAGGTGGAGGAAGGAGGCGAACGCTGGAGCAAGCCCCACGTGGCCACACTGTCCCTGCACAGCCTCTTCGAGCTCCGGACCTGCCTGCAGACGGGAACGGTGCTGCTCGATTTGGACAGTGGCTCCTTACCACAGATCATAGGTGAGTGGGGACCACGGAGGCCCCCCAAACCAGGGCAGCTCTCCCCCTCCTGCTCCTGCCCGCCCCAGTCCATCCTCACCTCTGACACTGCCTGATTGCGCAGTGACTCCAAGGTTCAGTCCCCCGTAGAGTTCCAGCGGAGGGAACGAGCACCCTCTGAAATGCAGTGCAGCCAGGGAGAGGAAGACCCCCCAACCCTGCTCCTTCTGTCCCGTTCTGTCCCCTTAGATGACGTCATTGAGAAGCAAATCGAGGACGGCCTCCTGCGGCCGGAGCTCCGGGAGAGGGTCAGCTACGTCCTCCTGAGGAAGCACCGGCACCAAACCACGAAGCCCATCCACCGCTCCTTGGCGGACATCGGGAAGTCGGTCTCGTCCCCCGCCGGTGAGTCGGGCCATGCTGGTGGGCCCTGGGCGGGGGGTGGGGGGGGTGGTGAGCCCCGGTCAGTGAGAGTCTGGGCACTTCACCAAGCTGGAGACATTCTGGGGGGTCCTTAGCCTCCTTCTCTAGCAGGGACCCCGGTGCTGTCCCCACCCCAGTGCTGAACCATTTCTATGAGGAGAGTTGATTCTCAGCCTGACTGTGCCTTGCGATCCCTGGGGTGGGGGTGGGGGTTGGGGTGGAGGGGTTGGGGCGTGGGTATGATATGTGTCCTAAAGCCTAGGTCCCACCTGGAGAGTTGTGGTCAGTTGGTCTGGGGTGTGGCCTGGAAACGGGGAATTTAGGAAGCTCTCATGTGCAGTCAGGGTTGTAAATGCTGTAGAGATGGTCTGTTTATGGTAAGAGCTTAAAATTTTCCCCACTGAGCACCCCCCAGAAGAGCCAAGAGCCCCGAGAGAAAGTGAAGCACATGGAGATGGTGGGAGGGGCTGGGCCATCTCAGGGCGCCAGGCCTGGTAAACCTGGCAGCTGGGTCATTCTGATTGGGGGGGGGGGGGGGGGCATTGGGAGAGCGGTTTGTTCCATTCGCACATCTCAAACCCGCCCCTCTCCATCTTGCTATCCCAGAGTTGAGATGCTCAGACACTACTAGCCTTGCTGGACCTCTCAGATAAATGCCGTCATCAGAACAAAGTAGCTAAATAATGAGCCTTGAGGAATTTCTTTAGATGAACCGTCTGAAATGGGGGAGTGTTTAGCGTATTATAACTGCAGGCACACATGCGGTACCTACCATGTTCCAGCACTGAAGCGTGACTCACTTCATCCTCACGATAACCCATGACTAGGTACTGTTCTCATCATCCCCATTTGACAGATGAGAAGCCTGGGGCACAGAGAGGTTAAGTTACTTGCCTAAGGTCACACAGCCAAGCTAGAGGTGCAATCTGGGATAAAGCCAGGCCATCTACAACACCTGTGCCTATTGGATCAATTGGTTAGCTCTCTGTTTCAACAGTACAAATATTTAATCTTGTTCAGACAGTTAACTTGCTTCAAAAAAAAAAAGCCCCCCAAACAAGAACAAAAAACAGAACAACCAAAAACACCCTCTTTCTGGAAGGAGAAAAGACAGGTCTTGTAGCCCAGCTTTATTCAGGAGAAATGACAATACGCTTAGTACCACATCGATGGGGAGGCAAACCCAGGCTCCAAGGCAAACCCCTCTGCTCCTCCTCCCAGGTCGAAGCCTAGCCCGGAGCCCCCCAGCCGGCCCCAGCCTACACCGCTCCACCGAGGACCTGCGGGTGCAGCCACGCATAAGCTACGGCCATCTGTGTGAGTGTCCTCTGCCACTCGCCACAGCGTCTTCGTCACGGCCTGGTCCTGGCTGGCAGCCGTGGAATGTTGGCTTTTGTATTCTTTCAAAGGCGGAGGAGACAAAGCCCAGGGCCTGTCTAGAATTCTCAGGACAGGAGCCAGGAAAATTCTAACTTTCACCGAAAGCTGGTCTACTCTCAGAGCCTAATTTACTGCTGTACATTTTTATTTTCCTCACCCAAGGATATTTTTCCATTGATTTTTAGGGAGAGTGGAAGAGAGAGGGAAAGACAGAGGGAAACACTGATATGAGAGAGGCATGTCGATTGGTTGCCTCCTGCACGAGCCCTGACCAGAATCGAACTTGGGACCCTTTGGTCTGCAGGCCGATGCTCTATCCACTGAGCCAACTGGCTAGGGCTACTACCATGATTTTCTATATAATTATTCTGGAAAAAACGCAGCTCTAAATCAAGTCCTGACATAATCACTACCCAGTCCTATGTGCTAGGCATTTGTAACTTAGTTTATACCTTGGTTTTCATCAAATTGATCATTAGCCCTGTTTTTGGTAAAAAGCCTTCCTAGAAACAGAATTAAAAACATGGGAGGTATCTCCCCCGCCCCCCAGGACAGAGAGTGCTCCCATCACTGGGTGACAGTCTCGAGCCGCCAGGACAATGAAGCGCTGCAGTCACAGCCCCTGAGCGCCGGGGAGGTGCCTGGTTGCACACGGGGCCTTTTCAGACAGTTCATCACAGATGAACAGGACGGGTGAGCTACGAGGCAAAGAAAAGAGGGGACTTGGAAAATGAAAAGAAAAGGCAGTGTGAAAATAGCAATCCTATTTTCCTTTAAAGACTTTCACTAAAATGCCAAGATATGAGCAAACGCAGCCTAGGGCTGTGCCCCTACCAGGCCTGAGGGATGTTTCGGGAGGAGCCGTGGCCCTTGCCCGAGGCCTCAGCTGCAGTGTGTCATGGGCTCTTTTCTCTATTCGTAGTGACCCTGGGTCCTCATAGTTCCCCCTGGACTTGGTGACTGCACGTAGGGGCGCCAGGGGGCAGCAGTGAGCAGGCGGCGGAGGTCTTCAGTTATTCGCTGTGGAAGAGGTCTCCCCTGCGTTGTGCTGCAGGGTTGGGGACCCCAACAAAAGGCATGAATAAGCGCTTACAGCATGTGTGCAGGTGGCGCCCGGGAAAGCTCACTGAGGAGGGGCTGTTCCTGAGTCTTGGAGAATAAATAGGAAGGCGTTTTCCAGGAAGGGGAAGGGTGTTCTAAGCAAAGGAGACAAACAGCAGGTGCAGGAAGGCGCTGCGGAGGGCGCTGTGTATCCAGGTCTGGATATAGTGGTTCGGTAATGAGGACTGTAAGGCCTGCGGGGAAGAGGGTCCCACTGAAGGGGCGCCTGTGCCCTGCAGAAAGGCCCAGCCTTTGTTCTGATGGCAGAGGGGACCCCGGAGAAGTTTTAAGCAAGGGCAGACCATGATCGGATTTTTATTTGAGAGAGATCAGCCCAAATGTGGGCATGGCAGCGCCAGGAGTGGTGCGATTGAGCAAGGATGGAGGGCTTGAGGTCTCTGGAGGGGAGAGGGCAAAACAGGCCCTCAGGGGAGGCCAGGAGGAGAGGCTCTGGATGGAAGGAAGAGGAGGGCGGGGGGCAAGGGAGCATGTTCTGGGGTGAGGGGACACCCAGGCCGCCGAAAGCCAAGAAGTGTCAGGTCTGAGAGTGTCCCCTGGGTCTGGCTGAGCTTCTCCTGCCTTAACCAAAGAGGTGAATTATTGAGCAGTTCAAGTAATTCACCACCACTGTTCTTCCCACCTCCCCTCCCTCTGCCAGCCCAAATCCTTAGCCATCTTTAAAGACCGACATGGGCCTAACCGGTTCAGCTCAGTGGGTAGAGCGTTGGCCTGTGGACTAAATGGTCCCGGGTTCAATTCTGGTCAAGGGCACATGCCTGGGTTGCAAGCTCAATCCCCAGTGGGGAGGCATGCAGGAGAGAGCTGATCAATGATTCTCTCTCATCACTGATGTTTCTATCTCTCTCTTTCCCTCTCCCTTCCTCTCTGAAATCAATAAAAATATATATAAAAAGAAAAAGACTCACATGGGTCATGGAGGATGGAGGGTGAAACTCGTCTTCTCTCTCCAACAAAGTCCAAGCTTAGCGACACCTCCCCACCCCCAGGGTCTGGCACAGAACAGACATCTTTGTCTCTGCCCAGAAGGTGGTCTCTGCCCAGGAAAAGGGGGTGAGGGTAGAGACAAGAATACAGCAGATTGAGTAGTGAGAAGGGAGAAGTAGAACCTGGGGTCTGGTAACTCTTTTAAGAGAGCCTCCAGCCCTGGCTGTGCAGCTCATTTCGTTGAGCGTCGTCCCAATAGGCGTAGGTTTTGGGTTCGATCTCTGATCAGGGCACATGCAAGAATCAACTGATGAATGCATAAATAAGTGGAACAACAAATCTATGTTAATAAATTAAAATTTAAAAAAAGAGAGAGAGAGACAGCTGCCATTGGAGGGAAGAAAAGAGAGTGGAGGCCAGCTCAAGGGGGCTGCAGGATTAGGGGAGAGGAGCTCTTGCTTTGCTTATGAAGACGGAAAGCATGTGTAGGGACCCGGGGGAAAGGACCTGAGAGAGCCTGCCTTCCCCTGATGGACCTTCTTTTCCTTCTCTCCTAGGTCACGTCCAGAGCAGAAGCATGAATGATATTCCTCGCACCCAAAACCCAGACCAGGTAGTAAAGCCCTTGCACTGGGCCACCATGAGGGGCCAGGGCAGGAAGACGCCTTCGGTTCCATGGGCAGGGAGCACCTATGGCAGTGATGGCGAACCTTTTGAGCCCGGTGTGTCAGCATTTTGAAAAACCCTAACTTAACTCTGGTGCCATGTCACATATAGAAATTTTTTTGATAATTGCAACCATAGTAAAACAAAGACATATTTTTGATATTTATTTTATATATTTAAATGCCATTTAACAAAGAAAAATCAACCAAAAAAATGAGTTCGCGTGTCACCTCTGACACGCATGTCATAGGTTCGTCATCACTGCCCTATGGGCAGGGCTCCACTCTCATGAAGCAGCGGGAGTCTCCAGGAAGGACATGGGTGGCTGGGGGTGGGGGGACACTCTGGGCTGCCTGGTGACTCTGCCCACTCCATTGCTTGAGTGTTGACTGAGCCCTAAGTACTGGCTCTGTGCCTGGCCTGGGAGGGGTGGGGGGCAGAGAAGCATGCCTCTGAGCTTGGGTTTGTTGGAGAGAGAAGACCAGCACGCAGAGTTTCACCTGCTATATGGCACACAAGTACCTTCAAAGATGGAGTGGGATTGGGGCTGGTACAGACTCGCGGTGGGGCCTCCCTGTGGGGACAGCAGTGGTAGCGAATTGTTTGGACCGCCCAGCAGTGCGTCTTCTCCTTGACTGGGCCAGGATAAAGGCAGTTCCTGCCTCCCGCCAGCCTGGCTGAAATCTCCTGATGAGATTTCCCACAGCAGGTTGAGTCCACGTTCTAAGGCCCACAGCCCGGGAACCCTGTGGCTCTGCCCCTTGGGGAAGCCCAGGGGAACCTCCTCAGTTCCAACCATGCACACCTCTAGGGCAGAGTCTCATGGTCCCCTTGCTTGTGCCCCCAGGAGTGGGAAGGAAAGTGATGAAAGAGACCTGAAATTTGGTGAAGACTTCTCAGGAGCTTGGGTGAAGGCCTGGCCTTCGGGGCAACCCAAGTTTGGTAGCAGGCGAAACAAAAGCAGTCCCTCACATCAGTATCACGAGGACCGTTTGGTGGCCAAATAATAACAATAATAACAGCATCAGCCAACACTTAAGACCCACACTGCACGCGCCACACCATGCGTCATGAAGGTCTATATCATCTCCAATCTACTGGGGAGAACATTGGACCTTAAAGCAGTTAAATAATGTGCCCAAGTTCATGCAGCAGAAGCATGACTAGACCCAGACAGTCTGCCGAGAGCCCTTAATTTGGAAGTGACTTAGCACTGAGTATTCTGGGATATTATTTAGAGAACAACCCCACTTTAGCACACAGGTAGCGAGGCCAAGATAAGGAAGCATTGCCTAGGCGATTTTCATAAATGTCTAAGTGGCAACAAGAAGAGCAGCTGTCACTTTCCCCTGGCAACGCTGCCCTCATGTAGGGACTGGAGCCACGTCCCATGTCCAGCTCTCCTGACTGACCAGCTGATACTGCTTCTCGGTACTGTTTGCAGCCACAAAGGCTTGTTGTGGGAACAGCGGCTTGTCCGCCAGTGGGCGCTCTTTAGGCTCCAGCCCAGAGGCGTTGCTCTGCAGGCTCTTTCTTCATGGCTCCCGCCTGCCCTGGGCAGTCCGTGGGTTCCCGGTGAAGCAGAGGGTGGATTCAGACACAATAGTTGCGTGTGGTCACTCGACAGAACTGGACCAGACTCCCTATGGGTTCAGTAAGTAGGATCAGCAAGACCCTGGTCCAAACCATTGCCTAGCCAGGTGGCCAGAACGGCAGCATGGCCCATTTCTGGGACGTCACCACCCCAGCCGGCCTCTTTACCAAACTGTCACCACCTGCCAGGGAGGACCACGGCCCGTTGCAGCTCCTCTCCTCTCCTGGATTAGGAATGTGCTGTTGGGCTGCCCCCAAGCCTTGTTGTTTTCAAAGACTCCTTTTCCAGGGCACTCCTGCCACCCCTCCGCTCCTCCTGTCCCCCGGACCTGCTCCCCGCCTGATGCTTATGGGCACAGAGCGGGCAGGGGGGCCGCGGCTGCCCTGGCACACCAACCCCTCCATCCTGAAGAATGCTGCTTATGAATCAGCTGACTGGCTGGGACAAAGGGATTTTCTGAGTTGTGAGGACTCTGGCCTTCCCGCTAACTCCTGGCCCGGCTTGTTCTCACTGCATTAGGGTCCTTGGGGCTGTGGCCTGGGTGGCTGTAGAGGGTTTTAGTTTGGGATTGGATGTAAAGGATTACAAGGGTGCAGCCCTTGCTCACATGCCCTTGCTCATGCTGGTAGGCCACCCAGCCCCTGTGCATCACGCCCACCATGAGTGTCAGGGACATGGAGCTTATGGGAAACGGACATGTCTGTGCCCACAGGAGAGACCCAGGAGAAATGGGTGGCAAGCTTGTGGGGTCCGTAGGATCTCTCTGAAGTGCTCACCTCTAACTTCTGGGCCCTTTCTTCTTTGATGGCCACTGTGGACTTCCACCAGCCCTGCCCTCCAGATGCTCCCTCTCCACCGTCTCTACAAGTTATCTCTGTCCCTGGCCCATCCCCTTTCCGCCCAGAGGGAAAGCGATCTGAAAAACGAGTGCATCCTAAGATGTGAGCTTGTATGTGACCCTCCCTGGGCATGTTCCTCATAAAAGAGGGCTCAGAAGGAATGGCGGCATAAACGCAGGCGGTGGGAATATGTTTGGGAAGAGGACTTGTCTCCAGCACCTCTCCCATCAGCCCCCTTTCTCTATGTGACCTCCTGCTCTGAACAGACACTAGCCAGAGGGCCTGGGGAGAGGGCACCTGGAAAGTCTCAGTTGTAAAGTCTCAAAAGCTAGGAGTTTCCTGGGAGGTCCCCTGGGGGTGACTTGGGGCCCAGAAGTCTCCCACAGACTTGGAGATGTGGTCCAGGGGTTCCTGTGAGCCAGGAAGTGGTGGCAAAGGGAACACACAGTGCATCGGTCTGGCCGTCAGAAGGGGGCCGTCCCTTCAGCGGCCACCCAAGGTGAAGGTGGGAGGCGAGGTGGGGCGGGGGGGGGGGAGGTGGCGGGGCGGGGAGCTGCAGTGCAAGGGCCAAGGGTCCCTCTGCTTGAGCCGCAGAGGCTGGGGGATGAGACTGGACACCCCGCACACCCTCAGCTCACACTTCAGTTGAGCAAAGTTTTTACTCATCAAGGAATGTCTTAGGGATCAAGTCATTGCCTGCTCCTCCCCGTCTCCACAGGCCTCGTTGGTCCCTGGGGTTAACAAAGGTTGAGTCTCTCATCTGCAGAAGCGGGGAGAGTGGTTATTTCTCTCAGTGTCTTGAGACAGGCTGGGGAAACTTTTCCAAGTTAGGGCTCCACAGCCATCTGAAGGGGGGTGAGGGAGTGAAAGCTGGAACCCCTGCATGTGAGTAACCATGGGCGCTCGTTTTCCCTCCTTGACCAGCGGAAAAACAAATTCATGAAGAAGATCCCCAAGGACTCAGAAGCCTCCAATGTGCTTGTCGGGGAGGTGGACTTCCTGGACCAGCCCTTCATCGCCTTCGTGCGTCTCATCCAGTCGGCCATGCTGGGAGGGGTGACCGAGGTGCCCGTCCCCACCAGGTGAGGGGCCATTGAAATCTGCCCCCCACGACCGCCTTCAGGCAACTAGCTGTCCATGCAGTCAGCATGCAGTGCTGGTGAAGACACCCCTAAAACAGGGAGGGACAATAGGGAATTGGCTGGGGAGGAAAGTCTTCTCACCTGGGAAGAGTTTTAGAGTATTTAGTTAAAGCAGTCACTCGAAAGCAGGAGCCAACAGCTGGGAGAGATGCTCTTGGTGGCTCTGGGACACCAGAACACGGCGAGGATGCTCGAGGGAGAGCCGTGGGAGTGAAGAGGAAATGTCTTTCCAAAACAAACACGAGAGTCAAAAGAGGGAAGGGCGCTGCTGGTGTGGCTCAGTGGTTGAGTGTTGACCTAGAACCAGGAGGTCATGGTTCAATTTCTGGTCAGTTTACATGCCAGGGTTGCAGGCTCGATCCCCAGTAGGGGGTGTGCAAGAGGCAGCTGATCAATGATTCTCACCAATGTTTCTATCTCTCCCATTCCCTTCCTCTCTCTGAAAATCAATTTAAAAAATTTTTTTTAAAAAGAAGGAATGGACAAATTTACAGCCAGTTAAAAAGTTAAGAATGGATACTGTTTGGAGCCAGAGGACCCTTCTCTTCACCTGCTTCTGTTTTTCCTTCTCACTTCCCTCCTCCTCCTCCTCCTTTATCTCCTTGCAGATTTCTGTTCATACTGCTGGGACCTTCTGGGAGAGCGAAGTCCTACAATGAAATTGGCCGAGCCATCGCCACCCTCATGGTAGATGATGTAAGTGGGAACGAGAAGTGTATTCCCAATGTCATGGCTCCTGAGTCAAGCACTGAGCCTTCACTCATTCATTTATCCAATAGGCACATTGAGTCCCTACTGTGTGCAGGCGCTGCGTAGGTGCTGAGGATTATGAGGATGAGGGAATAGTCATCCTCATAATAGTTGATGCCCTTTAGGAGCGTCAACCGAGTGGGGAGACAGACCTATAATCCAGGAAGTCATAGCAGGCTTCACATGAGGGGCTTTAAAGCTACGATGAGCAGGAGGAGGTAGGTAGACCCACTATGAGCCTGGGAGGCAGGCATTCCAGACAAAGGGGACAGGGGCCAAGGTTGGGAGACAGAGAAGCTGGATGGAAGTGGTTCAACGTAGGCTCAGTGTTAGAGCTTCGAGAGCAGGAGGTGTCACAGAGAGGCGAGTCAGAGACCACACTGAGCCTGTGGGCGGAGCCCAGAGTGCATACTCCTCCAGGGGTGACGGGGAGCCTAGAGGACTTTAAGATCTGCAAGTCAGAACGAACACTCTGGAGACACTGTGGAGTGAGGATACCAACCCTCCAAGGAAGAAAGGCTAGGAAGTTACAGACAGATTTGAAACAGCTGAGCTTCTCGTGCGGGCTCCGCACAGGTTTTCTAATGAGCGTGCTCTGTGCAAAACTGAAAGCAGAAAGGTTGCCACTCAACAAAAGTCCGACAGTCAGAACGCAGAGACCTGGCCTTCATATCCAAGAGGGACCAGCTGTCCCCAAGGCTGCTGTTTCCCAGTGGCCTTATGTCCTGCCGGGTGGTGGTTCTCATTTCAAAATCTGAGAGCAAATTGGCAGCAGGAGCAACGGGTCAAAGTGATTTTCTCCCGGCGTGCTCCCGGGAGGTGGGTAACAAGGAGACGTCGGGCAGAGAGCTGACCGTTCTCCTCCTCCTCACGGCCAGCTCTTCAGCGATGTGGCCTATAAAGCCCGCAATCGGGAGGATCTGATCGCTGGCATCGACGAGTTTCTGGATGAGGTCATTGTCCTTCCGCCTGGAGAATGGGACCCAAATATCCGAATCGAGCCCCCCAAGAAGGTGCCCTCTGCAGACAAGAGGTGAGTATTTGAATGGAGGGGTGGTTAGGGCAGGGAGTGGTACAAGGGAAACTTCAAGTCTGGCCCTTTCTTTTCTCGTTTTGGATTTAAAAGGAAGATGTCACCATATTGGGGTTTATACCTTTCCCCCCCCAGTTTCATTTTATTTATCTCTTAAAAACAAATCAGAAGCAAATATGCTGAATTTAAACATCTGTAAAATCTGGGTGACCTGTGTGTGGGTATTGTTCCATCATTTTCCACATTTTTCTCTGTATTTTAAGATATTTTATAATTTTTGTTGGAGAAATAAGAGGTGTTCTGGGAACAGTTCTGGGGGCGTTGAGCCCTTCCCAGGATTGAGAGCCCCATGTCCCAGGTCCCCCTTCTTCTTCCAGGAAATCCGTGTTCTCCCTGACCGAGCTAGGCCAGATGAACGGCTCTGTGGCGGGAGGCGGCGCGGCTGCAGGAGGAGGCCCTGGAGGTGGCAGTGGTGGTGGTGGGGTCGGCGGAGGGAGCAGCACGGATGACAGAGAGATGCCGGCCAAGCACGAGATCGGGGAAGAGCTTATCTGGACAGGAAGGTGCCCACCCCAGGCCTGGCATCCTTTAGATGCGTCTCCTTCCCACCCTCCCTGCGGGAACCTTCCCCACCTCTCCCTGCAGCGTCCCCTCCGCACCATGAGGTCTGGCCCGGGGTCTGGCCATTGCACTCTTTTCTCCCTCATATCCTCAAAGCCCCTCCTGCACCCAGCAAAAGGGTTCCCACAGGCAAGGACAGGCGGGACCCAGCACAGGAATGGAGGAACCCAAACTTTTCTTTAGACTCCCCTTGTGACCTCTATTAGTTTTCCGGGGCTGCCACCAGCAAGTATCACAGACGAGGTGGCTTCAACCACAGAACTTGATTCTCTCGCAGTTCTGGAGGCTAGAAGTTCCCAGTCGGAAGGGCAGCAGGGCTGTGCTCCCTCTGAGACCCTCGGGAGAACGCTTCCTTGCGTCTTCCTAGCTTCTGGTGGTGCCGGCAGTCCTCGTGTTCCCTGTCTGCCTCCATTGTCACATGGCGTTCTCCCTCTTCCGTCTTCACATGGCACTTTCCTCTTCTTATGAGGACACCAGTCATATTGAATGGGGGCCCACCCCAATGACCTCATCCTAGCTCCACTGCATCTACAAAGGCCCTGTTTCCAAATGAGGTCACATTCACAGGTGCCAGAGGTTAAGATTCCGAGATATCTTTTTGGAGAACACAGTGAACCTGTGTTATAATCTGCCCTGCGGATGTCAGGGACGTGAGGAGGACGGCTGTCTGTGGACCCCAGGGTTTCCATTCCCTGTGGAATGTTAGGTCTACCCCAGGGCATATTCCCATCAGGCCTTCCCCCTCCCATCCAAGCTGTTTATGACCACACTTCTCAGTGGAGATGGTGCCGACCTCAAACGTTCAGTCCTAAGAGAACTCTTCCCTGGTCTTAAACGTTCTGGTGGAAAGATCCTTGCCCCCATCCACTCCTAGTCAAGTTCCCTTCCTGGCGCCAGACTCTGTGGACCTGTTAACAGCCCTGCCCCTGCCCTGGTGTTTGTGGTGAGAAAGCAGTGCTGGGGCCTGTCTTAAGCAGGTGCTTCGGGGGCCTGTGCCTGGATGTCAAGAGGAAGTTGCCCTGGTTCCTAAGTGACTTCTATGATGGCTTCCACATTCAGTCCATCTCTGCCATCCTATTCATCTACCTCGGCTGCATCACCAACGCCATCACCTTTGGAGGGCTTCTGGGGGACGCCACTGACAATTATCAGGTGTGTGTGCAGGACATGCGTGCAAACCTCAGTAAAATCTGCTGCCACTGGGTGGCAGTAAGGAGCTTTGTCCTATAATCTCCAAGCCAAGTCTACCATCCAAGCTCAGACCATCACTTTTAGTAATCCTTTACCCTTCAAAAAGTTAGTAGTAAGATCTTAAAAGACCTACTAGTAAGGCTAAATCATGTTACGAAAGACTAAATTTAAATACTGTGTAAATCCAACTTTTAAGGGGAATCGTCTGCTCTATTTGATACTTTCCACACTGCTTGAATGAACTTAACACAATTAACAAGGTGTTGATTGTGGCCTTCTCCTCACACTTAAAAAACCCCACCAACCTAAAATTCTTAACTTGGAGTTAAGACATATTTAGAATGATGATAAACTGTTTCCATGACAATACAGGCCTCCCCGGGGGAAAACACCCGCTCAGCAGACATTCGCTTGAGCTCCAAACAAGGGTCTTCTCTGAAGGGGGCCCTCGAGAGAGAACCACTAGAAAGCTCAAATCATTAAGGTGAAGACACGTTTTCCCAGATAAATTGAGATGAACCCCTATCGCCAGCCCACACCACTCTCCTGAGCTGCAGGTCCAATATCCAGCTGCCTCTGGGCCTACCCGTATGGGATCCATATGGGATCTCCCAACTCTCAGGGTCTACATGGCACCCACTATCTTCCCTCCAGACTTGCTGTTCTACCATCACAGCTGGTAACACCATGGTTCACCCCGTTATCCACGTGCCAACTCAATAACCCAGCTTCCCTGAGTGGCCCTCATAGCATGGTCATACCTGCTCTCACACCTCATCTCCCAGTGTTCCCTTCTCAGATCCCTGTCCTCCTCACGCATTCTGCATTGTTTTCCATCAATTCTTTTTCATCTCTCAGTTCCTCAAAGCCATGCTCCCTTCAGGTCCAGCCTTTGTATATAGTGTGCCCTCTTCCTGGGACACTCTCATCACTCCACTTCCTCTCTGGTCAGTTTTGGGTATCAGCTTCCACATATCTACCACTGGAGAGGCCTTCCTCACCGCTCCTTTACTCCTACTGTGTGCTCCTCTGGCACCCTCCCCTTATCTCAGCTTCTCATACTCCTTAGCAGTGGTTCTCAACAAGGGATGATTTTGACCCACCAGGAGACATTGGGTAGTATCTAGAGATAGTGTGGGTTGTCACAAATGGGAAGGGGTGCTACTGGCATTTAGTGGGTAGAGGCCAGGGATGCTGCTAAACACCCTGCAAGGCACAGCACAGCCCCCACACAGAGAAGTATCAAGCTTGAAATGTCAATAATACTGAAGTTGAGAAACTGCTATATAGAAATTGCCTGGTTACTCGTCTATATCTCCCACTAGACTGAAAATGCATGGTCTTGTTTACTGATGGGTCCCAGTAGTTAGCACAGTGTCTGATACATAGTAGGCACTTAGTGAATTTTGGATGAATGAATGGTCTAACCTCGAAAAGCACCTAGTAGAATGACTGAGTGATTGGATGGGTAAATGGGCTGTCCTCTGGGAGTAGCATGGGCACGGGGACCAGTGGAACCATTGGCAGCCCTGTTTCCTAGGTCCCGGGGTGCCAAAAGGAAGTCACACAGGACCTTCATCCCAGTGGAATTCGAGTGATGTGGGAGGTTGTGGGGTTAGGAGATGAACAGAATTTGGGAAGCAGAGGGCCTAGAATAAAGGATGAGCACTGTGGTCTGGGTCCCTGGTGAGACAGGTATGATCTGTTTTGTGCCAAAGGACCCCTTCTGTCTCCCGGAGCCTCACATTCCTTGTGCCCCCAGGGAGTGATGGAGAGCTTCCTGGGCACCGCCATGGCCGGCTTCTTGTTCTGCCTCTTCTCGGGACAGCCTCTCATCATCCTGAGCAGCACAGGGCCCATCCTCATCTTCGAGAAGCTCCTCTTTGACTTTAGCAAGTAGGTGTTCCTCGGGCGGTCTGCTGAGACTGGGGTGGGGGAGGCAGGGGCGAGCAGGTCCAAAGCTGTCTTTACCTGTGCAGAGAGCACTGCCAGGTGGTCCCCTGACTTCCTCTGGCTACCTGCCTCTAAGTCATCTTAGTGTATATTAGCACAGCGGATAGGGAGACATGCAGGCAAGACGAGAGGAGAGAATTCACCCCACTCTGCTTGTGAGCAATGTTGACTTGGAAGTCAGTGCAGGGCATGAGAAGTTGAGCTGGAGGTCGGAAGGCTCCGTTCTAACCTGGCCAGCCATGAAGCCATTCTAAGGCCTGCCCCAGCCATCAGACTGAAATTCCTTATTATTATTCTTTTTCATTGACATGTTTGTTACCAAAATGTGAGAACTGAGATGTCTTAGTCTTAGTACCTTCCTGTCATCCCATGAGATCCTTTTTCAGAATTCTCAAAGACCAGACAACCCCACCCAGGAATTGTCCCAATTGTCCCTGTCCCCAGTCCTCTTGCAGTTCCTAGGAGGGCATCTGTGCCATAGGAAGGACAGATGAGTCATTCAGGGGGTGTCTGGGGAGCCAAGCACAGCCCAGAGCCCTGGGCTGGAGGCCCCTCACTTTCCTCTGCCTTCCAGAGGCAATGGCCTGGACTACATGGAGTTCCGCCTCTGGATTGGCCTGCACTCAGCCATCCAGTGCCTTGTCTTGGTGGCCACGGACGCCAGCTTTATTATCAAGTACATCACCCGCTTCACTGAGGAGGGCTTCTCCACCCTCATCAGCTTCATCTTCATCTATGATGCCATCAAGAAGATGATCAGTGCCTTCAAGTACTACCCCATCAACATGGACTTCAAGCCTGACTCCATCACCACCTACAAATGCGAGTGCGTCGCTCCGGACACAGGTGAGCAGTAACCCCAGTGGTGCCCTGGGCCCCCACCCTCTTCCCCTCATCTGTGTCTCTTCTCAAATGCAGGAGGGTGAGCTTGCTTTGAAGGGCACCTACTGTCCCAAGAGGGCAAAGGCAGAGTCTTGAACCCCGTGTTTGGAAGAAAACCAAGGGGACAGTAACTCTAATGAGGGTCATGCTACCAGAGCCCAGGGGTGTAATCAGAGAATAAAGGAACTGGAACCAGGACAAGTTGTTTTGATTAGAAGAATATGAAAAGGAAAGTTCTAGACATTTAGGCGACTGGGGAGGGGTAACTAACTGAGGAGGGTTTCTCTCCCAGTCCACGGACCACTTGCTTGCTAATGGTTCATCTTCCCAGTGTTACTGCAAAACCAAGTCCGACTATGGCAGTCACTCATTGTCACTCTGCAGCACAAAGGCTTGTTTGGGGCACTTTCTTTTTCAATTTAATCTTGTTTCCATTGTAACTGACTTGTATTCTGTTTATGGATGCTGCACACACTGACTTGGCTGCTTTCATCCCAAGTGAGTACCATTTGCAAACACTAGAATTTCAAACTGTTTGATACCGGGACACTCTCTGGACTCTCCCATGTTATAATTCTTCCTTCTTCATCTCAAAGTGGGTTTCCGATAAATCCTACAAAGTTCCCCATATAAAAGAATGGCGAAGCCTCAGCAGAAGACATCACAGGAGTGTCTGGTGTGGTTGGCAGTGGAAGGAAGCCCAGCTCACAGGCCCAGGCAGTAGCTGGAAGTCCCCGCCTGTTGAGTGGTAGACTTGAGCCAGCCTTCGTGCCACCTTTTCTGTTCGTTGTTAATTGTGCATCACGTCTTCTTGGTCAATGGCGTGAGGAAAGGCAGCAAATGTCCCTGATTTCTAGGAAATGAAGCTTTGCTCAGAATAATAGTAATAGCCCTCTGGGGCAGTGGTCGCCAACCTTTCGGACCTCACGGGCCACCAGTGGTCTGCGGACCACCGGTTGGCGACCGCTGCTCTGGGGTGTGGAGCTGCTAGGAGTGTTGTGTCCTAGGTCGCAGCTGGGTCCCTTCCCCACGTCCAGCCGAGTTTCCCCAGAAGTGAGCAACTTAGAGGGCCCTGTGGTCACATCCACCCATGACAGCTTGTTGGGGGCTGACGGAAGCTTCGAAAATAACCTCTTCTGCCCTCTGGGCCCCTAACCACAGCCAGCAGGAGCCAGATGGGGCTGGCAGCGCAGTTCAGATTTGCCACCAGCAAACTGGCGGGCAGGCCTGCTCCCTCCCCAGACCTGCTGCAGAGGTACCACTCAGTCAGCCTTCCCTGGAGGAGGAGGGCGGGAGGACTTGGCCCTTGCGCACCCATGCAGTGCAGGAGCAAGAGAGAGGGCAGAAGTGGCCCTCCAAGACCTGCCTTTGTAGTGAGTGGCCACACACCCCAGGGCAGGCCTCACAGTTCCTCTCAACTCTTCTCACTGCCCTGATGGAACCCTCACAAGCTCCACTTAGAGTGAGGGATGCTGAGGCTGGACGGGGTTTGTTTCCTCAGCTTCCACTGGAGCAAGCGCAGATTAGAGAAGATAACGTCAAAGCCAACCAGCTCTGCAGGCCCAGCTGACCTAAAAACCAACCAAACAAACAAACAAACAAAAACAGCCCATGCGGACCGGGCCAGGACGGGGAGAAGGGAGGTGTGCGGAGAGGAGTAGGACAGGGAAGACGCTCACTGGGTGGAGCTGGGAGGTGTCTCGGCTCTGGGCCAGCCTGCCTGGGATGGGTCTGGCTCCTCCAAGTATGAACTGTGTGACCTTGGGCAATGGGCAGGTTACTTGACCTCTCTGGGCCTCAGTTACCTCATCTTTAAAATGGGGGGACTTTCTTTAAAATAGGGGGACTTTTTTCAGATTGGGGACTTAGCCAGATGGTGTGTGTAAAGGTTTGGCAAGGTGCATGGCATAGAGTTAAGTTCCTTGAAAATGTTTAAAGACGTGTCCAGTGGCCGGTAGGGATGCACAAGGCACGTTATTCACTGATGTGTGTCAGCCCTTGGTCTTGGTAGCAGCTCCCTTACTTCAGGTTATAGAGCCAGCCCTTCAGCATCAGAGAGCAGCTGCCTTAGCCTGGCCCAGCTGGTCTTGGAGCTGTGGCTGGGGCGGGGGGCAGGCCCCCCAACAACCACCTCCCTGCTCCCCTCCCTCCCACCCCGCTGTCCCTGGACAAAGTGAGGAGAGTGCAGAGGGGTGGGGCTCAATGAGCCGCCCTCACAAAGGAGCCAATCCCTGGCTCTATGGGACTGGAGGAAGATGGGAAGAGTGGGGGCCCGGGGGGGGCGGTCACAGGTCCCCTGCCCAGCAGCTTCTGACCCTCCCCATGTCCTACACTCACCCACAGCGAACATAACCGGGTTCAATGCCTCAGCCCTGCTGCCACCAAACACCAACACTTCTCTGGTAAGTCCTTTCCTCTTACCACTTGAGAGCTTTGTGGGGAGTGTGGGAAAGTTGGGAAACTGAGGCCATCTTATGGCAACCCAGACTTGCAAGGTCAACCCAGCTGCCCGTCAGGGTCCCCTGTGGAGCCTTGTCAATGCACATGTTAATTTTATGTATATTCTGTCAAAATCCCTTTTTATAACATGCCTTACTCCATAAGATGTATGTGCATAAATATCACACACACACACACACACACACAGGGGAGGTAGACATGAGGAATAAAGAAGGCTGCATAAACAACGCTGTGAACAGTTTCCCATCCACCTTTCTACCTCTTCCTGCCTTTCTACCTGGGATCCCCAGTTCCCACCTGCAGGCCCCTCCCTGTTTACTTCATATTCATGCCCCCTCCTCACTGTGTCTGGTCTGTCCTTGTGCTCAGGGGCCCCAGGCCCTTAGACCTGGCCTGCTTTTCCCAATAATAATGAGCAGTAGCCTCCATTATTAGGAGGGGGAAAAGGAGAGTAATTTATAATAAAATGTAATGTATATTGTAAAAATTTAATGCGTAAAGATTCAGGCTCCAATGGTGGGAAGTCCGAAACCAGGTGAAGGGTAGGTTGGCGCTCGGGGAGATTCCTGAGCCTCTCATGTCCCCCAGGTCGCTCCTTCAGTCACCCCCGCACAGGTAGCTGACGGCTCCATTGGCAGTTTAACCTAAGATTTTTCAAATATCTGATCTTGAGAGAGGAGGAGTGGCATCAGCCAGCGCCTGTGTCTGAGTACTTGTTATCCGCAAGGTGCTGTGTGCTCTGTGAGGGCTAAGAAGACAGGTGGGAACGACCCGGTTCTGCCCTCAACCTGCTTGTCCTAAGCCTGTGGAGAGGAACCTGGAAGGTCCCGGGCAGCACACGCAGAGCTGCCGTGTGTCAAACACAGGTCGAGCGTGTGTTCCCAAGCTGGGAGGAAGGCCTCCTGCAGACCCTGGGACGCCCTCTGGGCTTAAAGGCCGGCAAAGGGGCTTCTGTAGAGAGAAGTACATTCCCATTCCAGTCGAGGGACCAGCACAGACAGAAGGGCACAAGAGGGAAAGCACAAACCTGTCCAGGACAGCGAGTGAACCTTCAGCTGAGACAGTGTGAGGTGAGGGTCGTGCAGGGAAACCACAAGAGATGAGCTGGGAGAGACGTCGGGCCAGACCAATGGAGAGTAGAGGCATGCTACCCTGGAGGGGGCGTGTTTAATGGCTACAGTGATTCAGGGACACCTGACATTAGTAGACGGCTGGGCCTCTCTCTTCATGTGGTTTTTCTCCCACCCTGAGCCTTCTCACAGCACTGTGGCCTCATGGTTCCAGAGGGTGAGAGCAGATGCTGAGGCCCCTTGAGGCCGCGGCTCAGAACCTGCTGAGAGCCACTTCCTCTCCATCCTGTTGGTCTCAGCAGGCCCCGGGAAGCCCAGATTTAAAGGGCGGAGAAATAGACTGCACCTTTTGATGAGAACTGTCAGTGTCACATTGCAAAGGAGCGTGAACACGGGAGTCATGATTCGTTGGGGCATTGTCATTATGGCAAACCACCACGCTTCTCTTATCCACACATCCATTATAGCTGCAAGCATCTGTTTACTTCATTATGTACGTGCCTGAAATGTACACATTAAATTTTAAAAAATATGTTAAATTTTATTACAAATCACTCTCCTTTTATTCCTCCTTTTATTACACGTAGAGACATATGTGAATATATATGTGGGTATATACATATATGCATATATGTACACATAGGTACACTTATATGTATGTATATATATGTTAAGAACATAGACTGTATATGTATGTATATATAAATATGTGTATAGGAATATACATAAGAATATATTATATACATTCCTCCATATTTATACATATAAAATGGTTGCATGCCCTGGATTTTGGGCATCGGGGACACCAAAAGGGGAAGTGCCTGAAGCAGCTGACCAAGAAGGGTCAAATAAGGGTGGGATATGAGCCCCAATATGTGAGAGGGTGTGTACAGGGATAGGAAAGGGAAGAGTACATGTGAGACACTCCAGGAAGGAGGTGAGCTGAGCTGGGAGCGAGGCCTGCGGAGGAGGAGGAGGGCATCCCACCCTCTGTGCTTTTCCTCCGTGCGAACACAGCAGTGCACCCTAGAACACAAGTAAGAACACATCTCAGCTTCTACTCTCCCAGCGGAGCCTCCTGTGGTCCTTCCTTAAAGCAACCTGCCTCCAGGAGCATCATTCTGTGGCTGGGCCATGGGGCAGAAAGGCTAGGGACCCTCAGAGAGCAGGAGGGGCATGTGGGCTGCCTAGGACTGCAGGGAGTGGGGGGGAGGGGGAGCGGGATGAGGGGGCACAGTTGACCCATGAGGATGGCCCTGACCCTTTCTCTCCTGTGCTTGGTCTCCAAGTACAACCCCCTTAACCTCACAGCGCTGGACTGGTCCCTGCTGAGCAAGAAGGAGTGTCTGAACTACGGTGGCCGCCTGCTCGGGAATTCCTGCCAGTTCATCCCAGACCTGGCACTCATGTCCTTCATCCTTTTCTTCGGGACGTACTCTATGACCCTGACCCTGAAAAAGTTCAAATTCAGCCGCTATTTTCCTACCAAGGTAAGCTCACCCTGCAGTTAGAAGGGGGCCTATAGTCAGGCTGTTCACAAGATCTCCCTGAAAAGATTCTGACCCGCGCACAGGATGGACACGTCAGCACTGGCTCACTGAGGTTTTTGAGGTTAACAGCGCAGACTTGGAGTCAGAGAGAGCTGGGTCCCCTTGTTGTTAAGGACCCTTGATAACACTTGGTATTGTCAGACTTTTATCTTTAGCCTTTTTGGGTAGTAGTACCTCTGTGGTTTTTAAATGTCCATTTCTCTGATGTGTTGCAACTATCTTCTCACACTCTTTTATTGGCCTTTGTAACTTTCTTAATGATATCTTTTTATTAATAGAAATTATTAATTTTACTACAATCAAATATATCAAAATTTTCCTCGAGGAAAATATTGGACAGAAGATATTCTCTAATGTTATCTTCTAAAAGTTTTATTGTTTTCCTTTCATATTAGATCTATAATCTATCAGAATTGCTTTTGCAATATAGTATGAAATAGAATTTCTCTTTTTTTTAATAGATAGCCTATTATTCCAGCACTTTAAAAAAATCTTTCTTTCCCCCACTGTTCTCCAATGCTTCCTTTGCCATTTATCAAATTTTACACATGGTGAGGTCTATTTCTAGGTTCTTTATTCTGCTTCATTGGTTTATTTGTATGCCAATATCACAATCTTCACCATCGTATAATAAGTCTGTATATCTTACAGACCAACCTCTTTGTCCCTTTTTTCAATAATGCCTTGGCCTTTTGCATTTCTAAATAACTTTTAGAATCATCTTAAATTTCACCAAAATAAAAACTTATTGGAGTTTTGATAAGATTATATTGACTCTACATGTCAATTTGGGGAAAAATGACAACCTTCAAATTTTGAATCTTCTGATCCATGAATATAGTATACCTCACCATTTATTAAGATCTTGGTCCTTTCCACAATGTTTAAAATTAATTACATATGTTATTTTAATACCCGTTTTAAAGGGGAGTAGGAGGTACAGGGAACAAATTCATTGTGCCATACATAGCCTGCCCCTGCCCCTCCTAATTGCTTTCCCTACTGTTCGATGGAAACTGCTGTCTCTGAAGAGATACAAAAAGGGTGACAGGGTAGCTGGTGGTGTGGAAGGGCGGTCAGAGGACAGGGAGATGAGGTCCAGAGCCTGGCCTAGGATGGGCCTCCTGAAACAGAGGAGCAAGAAGCCACAGACTCTTAGTGGAAAGAAGGTCTGAGGGTAGCCAGGGGCCCGGGTGGCAGAGCAACAATCTGTCACACATTTTTAGGAGCTAAGGTTTTCTTCAGAGTTCAGCCATTGTCCTTACCAGCACTGTTGGGTGACCCAGTTCAGTCTGTCACACCAAAAGATGTCAGCGATGGCTGCCATGCCATGTGCATAACAACAGTTCCCACTTGGACTAATAAATGCCAAGCCTTTGGAATGCATCATGGCTCACTTATGCCAATGAGGTAGGGGCTATCCTTATCCTCATTAAACAGATGCGGAAACCAAGGCTCTGAGAGATGACATGCTTTCCCAAGATCACATAGCCAGTGAGGGCTGAGCCTAGGTCAAGCCCACGCTCGTAACCATCCTCCTCTTTGCTGCCTGGGAACTAGATCCACCTGCAGGTGGGTGGCTATTTCAATCACTTGCTCATCTTTCTGCAGATCCGGGCCCTGGTAGCTGACTTTTCCATTGTCTTCTCCATCCTGTTGTTCTGTGGAATCGATGCCTGTTTCGGGCTGGAAACCCCCAAGCTGCATGTGCCCAGTGTCATCAAGGTTTGCTCTGGGCAGTAGCTCTGCTGCTCACCGGCTGCAGATCTGGTCCCCTCTACACTGATCCGACTGTCAGGACTCTCAGCCCAGTGACCCTGCGGGCTCTCTGTGCATGCTCCACCCTTCCTGTGCAGAACAGCCGCTCAGGGGAGATCCTTTGAGCTGACGGGTTGGGGCCATATTCACAACGAAACCCCACTGTGTGGCCACAGGGTGGGAGGTGATGGAATCTAGCTGAAGCCCTTGATTGTCACTTGAGGGCCTACAATTCCCTGACTCCTGGCAGTCTGCAGCTTGGTCGCCTGGGTTCTGTTGAAAATGACCCTTTAGAACAGTGATTCTCAAAGTGTGGTCCCAGACCAGCATCAGGAGAACCACTGCTTCACAAACCCCCCAGAGTCCACAGTTTGTGCCATTGCTTGTAGCTAAGCTTGAGTCGCACTACCTCCCAAGGAGCACCCTCCTTCTATATGGAGCTGGGAGGTACGGGTTCCAGAACTGGCCCTTCCTGACTTTGAGGGCTTCTTTGAGGGCTTGACCTTCACAATATCACTTCAAGGTTCTCCTAGGGAGCTTAAGCGCAGCCCATAAAACTGGTGTTGGTCTTGAAAATCAAAGCACTTCTTTCTCTTAAGTAAAACAAAAAATAAACCACAGCATAGATAACCCCTTATTCTCAATATGCGTTGATGTTCAGTGTTTTACAGACAATTGTGTAATGCTCCCCAGACAGGTGACTTGAAGGAGAGCATCAGGCAGTGGGCCCATCAAATTCTTTATTCTTGCCTGTTGGGCCTCATTTCTGTACCTTTTTAGTTTGCAATTAAGTGGTGGCTGCAAGCTCCCTCCCAACACTCTCTGCCTGTGCACCCCCCTGTTTTCTAACCAACCCCAGGCAGCTGCCACAATGATCCCCTTCCTTCCCAAATCTGTCTGCCTCTGGCTCTCTTTGTCCTAAAGTTGCAGGTGTCAATGTCTTTAAGGGAAAAGATTGCACTTGAAAGGAACCCCAGGTGGAAGCAGGAAGGCGGGGAGAGGGGGGCCCTGGGTGGCAAGTGCACTGGGACAAGGGAGAGAGGAAAGGGCCCTCTCTCTTTGCTCCACTAGCCCACAAGGGCAGACCGAGGCTGGTTCGTGGCCCCTTTTGGGAAGAACCCATGGTGGGTGTACCCAGCGAGCATCCTGCCCGCCCTGCTGGTGACAATCCTGATATTCATGGACCAGCAGATCACAGCTGTCATCGTCAACCGGAAGGAAAACAAGCTGAGGGTAAGGCTGGAGCTAGGAGCAGGGGCACAACCTCCCTCATTACACAAAGTCAGAAGGAACTAAGGGGACAGATGGTGAATCTGTCAAAATTCTGGGCCATTTCTGAAGCAATATATGAGGCCAGAAGACTGAGTTCTGGTGTGGGGGAGAAATGTGACCTGCAAATGCAATAAGTCCCCAGGGCCAGAGTGACTTTATCCAAAGACCAGGACCAAGTCCAGCGTGGGCCACTGGGTACCTTGCTTCTCCCAAAGAGACCTCTGTGCCTCCTGACAGCGACCTTGGGAGTCAAAGCAGATCCTAACGGGATTTTGACCCAGAACCATGAGGTAGAGGAGCATCCTTAGCTCTTCTGGTTTCTGCAGCTCCCCACCCTGCCTCTGGGTCTGGGGAGATTCAGGCTACCCTCTCCCCCACCCTAATCTGGACCTCTCTAGGTTTGGTCTAGGGCCTGTCCTAGCCAGGGCCCCCATTCAGGAACTACAGAGACATTGTGGCCACTCATAGGAGCCCTTCTTCCCAAGGACCCAAGCCCAGGGCCTCTTCAAGTCTGAACACCCCTCTCCTCCCTCACCTGTGCCCCTTCCCTGGCTCACCAAACCCTGAGGCTGATGAGGCCTGAGCACTGCAGGATGGCAGCCCCTCAGTGTTCCCTCTAGAACAGTGGTTCTCAACCTTCCTAATGCTGCGATCCTTTAATACAGTTCCTCATGTTGTGGTGACCCCCAATTTCATTGTTACAAATTGAACATAATTAAAGCATAGTGATTAATCACAAAAACAATATGTAATTGTATGTGTGTTTTCCGATGGCCTTAGGCGACCCCTGTGAAAGGGTCGTTCAACCCCCAAAGGGGTTGCGACCCACAGGTTGAGAACCGCTGCTCTAGAAGGTCAAGGGGAGCCCTGAACCATGCTCCACCAAATGACTGCTTCGGGGAGATTTCTGTCTCACTCCCACCCTGTCAGCAACAGGCTCCTAGACAGCTTCTCCTCTCCTGCCCCTGCAGAAGGCTGCTGGCTACCACCTGGACCTGTTCTGGGTGGGCATCCTTATGGCCCTGTGCTCCTTCATGGGGCTCCCCTGGTACGTGGCTGCCACCGTCATCTCCATTGCCCACATCGACAGCCTCAAGATGGAAACGGAGACCAGTGCCCCAGGGGAGCAGCCCCAGTTCCTGGGGGTCAGGTAGGTGGGGCTCTGGGCCTGGGGACCCCCTGAGCAGGAGTGGTCGGTTTGGGGGAGGGGAAGCAGGTTTCTTTTACCATCAAGTTATTTGGGCAAAAGGGGCCCCTGCTCTGACAGCTCAGGAGCCACATGGAGAGCAGTGGTATTCCTGAAGGGAGGGGGCGGGAGATGAAAATTCAGTTCTGAGTGATGCTTTTTGTCTCAATGGATTCCAAGCACCACCATAGCCTGTATCCACACTCTCAGCTCTCGCCTATATGGGCCCCTCAAGAGCCCCACAGGCCACGTCTGACCTGTCCCTTTGTCTCCTCTCTAAGACACCTTGCCCTCACTGTCCCTCAAAGCCCTCCTGTGGGCTTGGGTCCTGCTCGATCTCCATTCCCTCAGAGAGCCTTTCGGACCGCCCCCACTCCTGGGCTGTGGCCTGCCACCTCTGTTCCTCTCATGCCCATGCCAGGTCCCTGATCTGTTTCAGACACAGAAGCACACCTTCCCCCTCTGAGGTTCTCCGGGGTGAGCCCACCCCACACACTGGCCTTCTCAGAAGTGGCTGTCCTCAGACCTTTCCCCACTGCCCCAGGAGACCCCACTTGCCCATTCTGCCCCTCAGACAGCTGGGCCCAGAGCCCCCAGCTCCCACCTGCGGCATGTCTGGACCTGGGCACACGGGAACACCCACCTGCTCTCCCCCCCATCGGTCACACCTGCTTCGCCAGCAGCCAGGCCCCCTCCCCCCAGTCCTCATTAGTGTGCCCTACAAATGTGGGATCTTATTGTAGTCAAAGGGCAGGGGTAATAAGCACTTTATATCCCATTTCATTCTCACAACAACCAGCCCCCAGGTGGTGCCATTATCTCTCTTTTACTGAGGTGAAGACATTTAGGGCCCTGATGCCACACAACTAGTAAGCGGCAGAGCCCGCCTAAGTCTGTCTGGTTCAAGCACCCCCACTATTAATCACTGCACTGGACAACCTCCCAAACACCCCTACAGAATACCCTCCCCTCTGTCGGGCTCCCTCTCCTCGTGTGTGTGTTCAGCTGGGCCTTGAGCAGCAGGCTTACTCTCTGGAATGGGGGGACAAGGCAGAGGCCAGGGCCTTGGCCATAACCTTGAGGTGCCCACAGAGGGTCATGGAATGGTCATGGAGCATCTCCCAGTCTACCTGACCATGTGCTCTTCTCTGCCAGGGAACAGAGAGTGACCGGCACCATCGTCTTCATCCTGACGGGAATCTCCGTCTTCCTGGCTCCTATCCTGAAGGTGAGGCCCTGCACCCTCCCCCAGGACCCCGTCTGCCTGGGAAACCACTGGCCTGATGCCCCAAAGGTGGGGCAGGGTCCCACATGGCCCCTAAAAGGCAGGATTCTATTAGGCCTAAGAGATGTTTCATCATCATCATTGCTTTCTGGAAAATTGTATCAGCAGCAGCAGCAGTCGGCCTCGCTGTTCTACCCACCCCGCCCAGGGTCCACCTCACCTTTCTGTGAAACGCTTCCCTCAGAAAGTTCTGCCAAGGTCCACCGCTTAGATCAGAGCCTCCTGAGCTGGTGTGTGTCCATGTTGCTGTGTTTATGGCTCACGAGAGGCCTCCTTGCTTTAAAACTTGCAGGGAGGCTTCTCTACGTGTTCGTGGGGCCTGTTTCCTGCGTTTCTGTCTCGCACGTATTGGGCACACAAGTGACTTTTCCAACTCAGCCTGGAGCTCCTCTTGCTCGTGTCCCTCCAGAGCAGCTGGAAGAGACGAAACCCAACGGGAGTCCCTTCGGAGTGTGTCCTCACTCTGAGATCCTGGGGGTTAGGACTTCACATGAATTCTGGGGACACGGTTCCTCCCATAACACCTATCAGCGGCCCTTTCCCATAATCACGGCCCTCAAAGACTTTGCTGTCTTGAGTTCATCTTGGTTGTAGCTGCCCCCATTTATGCAGATATTTCCCCCTGTGCATACCTCAGAACGACTCCTTCAGGGTGACGGTGTGAAAAACAAAAACGGAAGAGCCACGATGTTGATGGATTCCTTTGCCATGGAAAGTATTTCTAGCTTGAGAACTGGTGTTGTTCCTTTGCATTTTTACCTTGTTTCATAATTCGGCAAACATCTCCCAGGCCGTGTACTACAAACAGAAGGATGCCATGGCCCCACATTTCCTTTCTTTCAGCTCAAATCTCTTAGGTTTACAGCATATGGGTCCAAGCCATGCTTTATGTTCAAAAAATGAACACAGTCTAATTTCTTTTAAAAGAGAGGACGTTTGTTTGGTTAGATTCATTGACCTGCTGAAATAGTATCTGACCATTGGGCATGGCACTGTGGTTCTCCCACGTCACATGCTCCAACACAAGAGCCCCAGGAGTGAAGCAGAGCAGCCTGGTTCATGGTGGCGAGCCGCACGTGCAGCTAAAGTGAAAGGAAAGTAGAAACACAGCTTAGAGAGACCGTGGAGAAATACCTCAAAAGGCTCCCAAAGAGTCATAATGATGACTGCAGGACAGTCCAGTGATATGATCCCATTGTTGAAAAAGTAAGCACTCTACCTGTGAGCACTAGTGGGGAGTTGGTGAATAGTGGTGGTTGGCATGTACATTGTTTTTCTTCTTGTTTCTTTATTTTTTTATTTTTTTATATATATTTTATTGATTCTTCACAGAGAGGAAGGGAGAGGGACAGAGAGCTAGAAACATCGATGAGAGAGAAACATCGATCAGCTGCCTCCTGCACACTCCCCACTGGGGATGTGCCCGTAACCAAGGTACATGCCCTTGACCGGAATCGAACCCGGGACCCTTGAGTCCGCAGGCCGATGCTCTATCCTCTGAGCCAAACCAGTCAGGGCTCTTTTTTTAAAAAATATCTTTTTGTTGATTTCAGAGAGGAAGGGAGAGGGAGAGAGAGCTAGAAACATCCATGATGAGAGAGAATCATGGATTGGCTGCCTCCTGCAGGCCCCCGACTAGGGATCGAGCCCACAACTCGGGCATGTGCCCCAACCGGGAATCAAACCGTGACCTCCTGGTTCATAGGTGGACGGACGCTCAACTACCGAGCCATGTCAGCCGGGCTCTTCTTGTTTTCTTCATATGATTGTGTGTGATGCATGGATTTTGTTAGTCAGCAGGTACTTCCTGCTGGTGTAGGTCTCTCACTAAAGGCCCCCAGCTCCCTACAAGCTGAGCAGCCCAGCTTTGGGCCCTCAGTGGGGACTTGAGGTGGGAAGGGACAGACAGGAATAAGCAGGGGGCTTTCTATGGAGCTTTCCCATGTTCCAGAAGCTACGTCTTCAGACCACATGGCTCTCCAGGGCCCAAAGCTGGGGGCCAGGCTGGGGGAGCACTGCACACCGGACGGGCCACCCAGCTAGAGAAGGCGGCAGAAGAGCCCCAGACCTGCTCTCAGACCCTCAGGTCCTCCAGCCACCCAGCTCCTCCCGCCTGGGGGAAGCTGGGGCAGGCAGGCTGCCTCTGTGACCGGCAGACACTTCCATGCAGAACGGGGCAGCCCACAGCCTCTCTGCTCCCCTCTCTCGTTTCAGTACATCCCCATGCCTGTGCTGTACGGAGTCTTCCTCTACATGGGCGTGGCCTCCCTGAATGGCATCCAGGTAAGGCCTCCCCGTGGGGTCAGCGCTCCAAGCCTGGGTCCATGTCACCAAGACCCCAAGTGCTCGCTTTCCCAGTTCAATGAAATAATAATGATAATAATAAGACTACCATTTACTATGTGCCAAGTAAATAACTGTACCGGGCACTTCATAGGTGTGATATCATTAAATCTGTGTAGGTAGGCCCTCCGATGCCGACTTTATAGATGAGGAAACTGAGGCCCAGGATTCAAAACCCAGGTGGGCTGACTCCAGGGAGCATCTCGCTACACCTCTGACTTCTCTAGGGCAACTCTGGCAGAAGAACACACTTCGTTTCATTCTTTTTTAAAATATATTTGTATTGATTTCAGAGAGGAAGGGAGCGGGCAAGAGACCTAGAAACATCAATGATGAAAATCATTAATCAGTTGCCTACTGCTCGCCCCCTACTGGGGATGAGCCTGCAAGCTGGGCATGTGCCCTGACCGAGAATCGAACCCTGACCTCCTGGATCATAGGTCGATGCTCAACCACTGAGCCACACAGGCCGGGCTTGTTCTTTATTTACCATGATATACCAGGATGTTTTGAATTACTTGTGTTGCAATTAAGTTGCATTTTCTTTGACTGTGGACGGTATTCATCTGTGGCCAGTTTCAGGGCCCAGCCCTCACTCAAGGCCCAAGCCCTACCCTGAGCTCTTGCTGTGCAAGATCTCGCTGTATGTCCTCCTATACTTCCAGTTCTCTCTGTGCGTCCTTAACGCCTGGCCAAGGGCTCCCTTCTATGAGGCCCCACTGCAGCCCCGCGTCCCCCACCCCAAGCCCCCAGCAGGGCTCCCGGCCCCCCCTGCTGGCTGAGCCTCTGCCTCCTCGCCAGTTCTGGGAACGCTGCAAGCTCTTCCTGATGCCGGCCAAGCACCAGCCGGACCACGCCTTCCTGCGGCACGTGCCCCTGCGCCGGATCCATCTCTTCACTCTGGTGCAGATCCTCTGCCTGGCCGTGCTCTGGATCCTCAAGTCCACGGTGGCCGCCATCATCTTCCCGGTCATGGTAAGTGCGGTGGGACCAGCTTCCCCTCCCGTTGGAGGTCCACTCTCGCTTTCTCCTCCCTGATGGCCTGACTGGTCAGGCAGGCACAGAACAAGACTGGAGCTGTGAATCCAGGCCAGGTGGGGCGGGGCAGGTGGCAGAGAGGGCAGCGAAGGTGGTCTGTGCGGTGGTCAGACCCTGCAGTGACCATTCGCACTCCCACCTCCACTCCACTCAGGTGGCAAAGCTCAGCGAGAGTGCAAACGCCACCCAACCGCCCCTGCGCTGGGGCAGGATGGCGAAGCTGGGGCAGGATGGCGAAGCTGGGCAAGTGTGACAATGAGACTAAGGTCCCCACGGCTGACATTCAAACCAAGTGCAGAAGTAGATCTTGCTAAATAGATACCCTTTTGCCCTGGCTGGTTTGGCTCAGTGGATAGAGCTTTGGCCTGTGGACCGAAGGGACCCGGGTTTGATTCCAGTCAAGGGCATGCATCTCGGTTGCCGGACCCTCCCCAGCCTGGGCCCTGGTTGGACCTGTGCAGGGGGCAACCAATCGATGTGTTTCTCTCACATTGATATTTCTCTCTGTCTTTCCCTCTCTTTTCTACTCTCTCTAAAACTCAATAGAAAGTTATCCTCAGGTAAGGAATAAAAAAAAAAGCAAGAAACCCTTTCATCATTCAAACTAACTGAATTTGAGAAGCTAACTGGGGAGTGGGAAGAGCTAGAATCAGAGATAAAGAACTTCAGAGTCCAATGTCATTAACAGGACATTTGGGGAAAGGACATTAGAGTTCTGTGACTATTTTGGCAAATTTTATGTAAGTTTAAAAGTATTCCAAAATAAGAAATAAAAAGAAGAAAAAAGCCAAAAGCATGTTGCCTCTGGCTCCTAGATCAGCCCATCACAGGGAAGTGGCCCCAGGCCCGGGTGGGCCCCAAAGCCTGCAGGGCTGGAGCCGGGGCAGAGGGAGGACAGGAGTAGGATTTGAATGTGTCCTCCTGGGGGCTCCACCTAAGTGATTTTCGTTAGTGTCCCCCAGCACCCAGCAGTGTGTGATTTGATGCAAGCTTAAGTTTGAGGACCACCAATTTAAAGAATAACTGTAGTTCTCCGACCATGGCTGCCACCTGGCTCCCCACTTCAGCCATCTCAGGCTCTGTCCCTATGGGTTCCGGGTAGGCATTGCCACTGGGGAAAGCCAGGCAGGGTCCAAGGTGGGCAGCTGGTGAATAATGGTTGTGGGAGCTTTGAGATGGCTCCAAAGACATTGACCAGAAAACATCCTTGAACATGGCTGCTGAGGGGGAACGACTGTGCCCAAGTTTGGGGACCTGAGCCTTCCATTTTCTCCCAACTCCCATTGCAGATCCTGGGCCTCATCATTGTCCGAAGGCTGCTGGACCTCGTCTTCTCCCAGCACGATCTGGCCTGGATCGACAACATCCTCCCAGAGAAGGAGAAAAAGGAGACAAATAAGAAGAAAAAGAGAAGGAAAGGGGCCCATGAGGACAGTGACAAGGAGGTGGGGAGGATGTGAGGCTGGGCCTGGGGGGGAGATTGAGAGGCTCCCTCCACGTCAGCCGGGGCCGGGATGGGGTGGCTTCCCAGGCGGCCTGCAGCGACCCAGTCCAGGATGGGCCGAGGCTTCTGCTAATCTTAGTCTGGGGGCTGAGAGCTTGTCTGTTTCTGTGACTGTCCTCAGGGTGGGCCGGGGTGAAGGAGCCCCCACCCAGGGAAACGTTGGCCATTATCAATAGCAGTGCAGTCCCCTAAGGCAGAGGCCAGCAAACTGTGGCTCGTGAGCCACATGCGGCTCTTTGGCCCTTTGAGTGTGGCTCTTCCCCAAAATACCACGTGCGGGCGTGCATGTACAGTGCGATTGAAACTTCATGGCCCTTGTGCAGAAGTTGGTATTTTGTGGAAGAGCCACACTCAAGGGGCCAAAGAGCCGCATGTGGCTCGGGAGCCGCAGTTTGCCGACCACTGCCCTAAGGGAACAGGGCAAAGCCTGGCACCATCACAGCGTCTGTAAGGACTGAACTCCAAAGAATGGAGCGGGTGGCAGGGGTGGGGCGGTTCCGATGGGAGCTCACTGGGAGACTGGACTCCGGGACAGACAGGAGGACTGGGGACAAGGTTTGCTCAGTCCTGCCCCTAGGGTGTCAGGGCGGGAGGTGGGGAAGAGGCCCAGTCCTCACTGAGAATGGCTCCCTTCCCCAGATGCCCACAACCACTGGGTTGCCCTGACTACTCCTCCCTTTTCCCATTCTCCTCCCATCCCACCCCCCAAACACTTAGGGAGTCAACAGACAAGAAGCCAGTCCAGAACTTACAGTAAGTCACAAAATGCTAGGGAGAAAGATCGTCTAGTTCAAGTGCTCATTACAGATGATGTAACTGTCCCCCAAAGGGAAGTGATTCACCCAAGATGGACATAGAGCTAAATACCTTAGAGGGAATTAAGACAGTCACTCCTGACTTTGCATCTGGTCTTTCCAGTATACCAAGCTGCCCATGACATCTCCTAATACCAGGCCTGGCTACCCTTCTCCCAGTTTGACCCAAAACCACATCCCTGCATCATCCTTGTATTGTTCTCCTAGTGATCTTGCCTTTTGCAGGTCAAAACTCTTCTTAGGTAAATCCTTGCTGACTGATTGGTGTTGATTCAACAACCTTCTGATGGAAGTGAGGGCCCTAACCTCCCCTGGTCCTCAATTACTATCCTCATCCAGGAAGGAAAGAGGCCCATCATTCACTCATGTTTTTCGTTGATGGTTTAGACAATTTCCAAAGATAGGTTCTAAGAACAAGGAAACCAAGTCAAAGTGCCTTTTAAAGACAAATACTATTCTTTCAGATTCATTCAATAAATACTTGAATGGCTACCATGTGCCCCGGACTATTCCAGGGTTGGGGGAAAATCTCTGGATTACATGATATATTCAATGAAAAAACAGGATTCAATTTACACAAATTCATTTCACACACACCTGGCGGCGAGGATGGCACTTTGCACACTGTGGATGCATGTTTTCCCATTTGGGCCAGAAAGGCAGCGCTGTTGTGTTGGTGTTCATCAGCTTTTCCCACTGTTTCTCTCCAGCCCCAGTTCCCTCCTCCCTCCGTTATAAAGATTCCCATGGAAAGTGTCCAAACAGATCCCCAAAATGGTATCCACTGCACTTCCAGTAAGTAAAACACGTGGTGTCTCTCTCCTCCTTACTAACCCTCCGCTTCAAGGAACTTCCACCTCTAGTTCAGGGAATCTGGTGGTCTTAGATGGTAGAGGACCACTGTGCTAGGCAGGCCGTTTCTTGGTGATTGCTGAGATGATTGAGAGCTCAAATCAAACTGAGTTGTCCTTTATTTTACATATTTAATATATTTTTATTGATTTCAGAGAAGAAGGGAGAGAGATAGAAACATCAGAATCATTCACCGGCTGCCTCCTACATGCCCCACACAGGGTGGTGGTGATGGGTGGGGGTTGGGGTGGGGGGGATTGAATCCACAACCCAGGCATGTGTCCTGACTGGGAACCAAAACGTGACCTCCTGGTTCCTAGGCTGATGCTCACCCACTGAGCCACGCTGGCCCAGTGAGTTGTCCTTTAGCAAAACAGGTAGCATCGCATTTGGAGTATAACTTAGGTCACAGTAGTTGGGCTGATTCTGTACAAATTGCATCTTCCACCCGCTGAAAGGGAGGCTTCCTGGGAGGGATATGCGTTGCTCATGAAGATCCTGGGGGATTGTTGCTGCCTTTACCTGCTCCCAGCCTCAGCTCCCTATTGGCAGACAGTCCTGTCATTGAGACAAGACAGCTTGAGATCCCAACCCGAGTCCAGACCCTGTTGCTCCTAATATAGAGCTTGCCACTTTCCTCAAAGACCAGGTTAGGGTCCTGCCAGCCCCCTCAAGAGCTTCCCATCACACCCTCCATCAGAGATACTTCGACTTTCTGTTTCCCCACTTCCTATTTGTATGATTCTATCACCCTTTCTCACTCTTCCCTGGCCCTCCCCATACCTCCCACCCACCTAACCTGGCTGGGCCTTCTAATGAAGGAATAACTAACCCACCCATCCTAGCGAGGGCCCTGTATCCCTCTTGTGCAGTGTTGGCCATGGGGCCAGAGAATAGAAAGGAGACGAAATGGGTAAGGGAAGCACTGGAAAAAGGATCTCCTCCAGGGGAGTCCTCAAACCTGCTCCACATCTGACATTTTAATTTCCCTGCCAGGAAAACGATCCTCCAGCTGGAGTTACTCATTCTGATTCTTCCTTCAGTGACTCAGAACCTGATCGAAGGTAATAGCCATAAAGTGTACTCCTCGGGTGTTGGATAAGAAACTAAACGATGGCCAGGAAGGTTGAGGGACTAGGATCTCCCAGCCTAGCCAGTGCCTCAGTAAAAGGCCTTTGTTTTGTGGTCCACCGAGGAGAGAAAGGCCGACAGTCCTGATCGTTGGGTGTCCAGTAACAAATTTGTCCTCTTATTGACATAAAAACATGATTACAACACACAAAGGTATTCAATTTTACAAGAGGAAATTATTATAAAATATTAGGTAAAACGAAAATGGAAAGTAAATACTGAAAAATAGAAAACAACACAGAGGAAAACCAGATATGGCTTAAGTACTGTCTATTATGGACAGCCAGGCTAAGGGAACTCTAAGGGTCCAAGTATCGGGTAACCTAATACGCTGTGCAATCAAATAACAGCATGGTTAATTAGCAGGTCAGAGAGGGTATCAAGGAAAGCTAACTAAATACCAAAGAGCAGGTGGAGACAGGAACAGTCCAGAAAGTATTCAAGACCTGGTTTCCAGGAGCCCCAGGCCAACAAGGCGGCTCCTACCTGATCTCAATGAGAGCCACCCGTGCAGAAAGCCGGGCTACTTGATGGCTGAAAACAAAGAGGCTCAAACGTGGAAAAGAACAATTCAGAGGCAGGCGAGTCGGCCTCGGCTATTACTAGGGAAGCTGGCAGGGCCAGTCCCACTCTTACACTGTGCCCTAACCTGGGCAGAAATCCCTCGGTACTGGGTCAAACAGGGAAGGCACAGGCTACCCAGTCTGGAGGCAGATAACCCCCCACTCACATGGCATTCTCTCAAGGGGTTTAAGAAACACATACGTGATCTTCTGAGCTGTAAGTCAGAACTGCTATCACATGCCCAGCTGAAAGACACGTCACCAGGACTGGCCTCCCTCAGCGGCTGGTCCAGGGCTGTTCCAGCCCAGGAGTGTCACATGCCCAAGTACATCTCCGCCTGCCGTCTCACCCCACCTCCCCAACCCAGGCTCTTCTACCCTTGGCCACTGACCTTTATATATAAACGTGTTAGAAGAGCAATCGGTCCACCCTGATTTGCTTTCACTTTAGCCTACACTAAATTGAATCTCTAATTGCCCCGAGTTCAGTCAGTGGAGAGAAAATTTGGACCAAGATAGGGCATTTCAAAAACCCTGTTAAGTTATACAAAGCATGGGACAGATTTGGTAACTGGCAGTGGCACCTCCCAACTACACGGGTGTTTTACCGCATCTGTGAAGGCAGAGACCACCAAGTAGCAGGATTCTTTTTTTTATATATATATATTTTATTGAGTTTTTACAGAGAGGAAAGGAGAGAGATAGAGAGTTAGAAACATCGATGAGAGAGAAACATCGACCAGCTGCCTCCTGCACACTCCCCACTGAGGATGTGCCCGCAACCAAGGTACATGCCCTTGACCGGAATCGAACCTGGGACCCTTCAGTCCGCAGGCCGACGCTCTATCCACTGAGCCAAACCGGTCTCGGCGAGGATTCTGTTTCAATGAAGAAAAAGGCTCAGCAACATGATCTAATTTAACAAAGGTTAGCATCATAAGCTACCAGGCAGGATGCTTACGCCCTGGGGATACAGAAAGGCATGTGGACAGGGACACCCAGCACCTTGTGCCAAGAACAATGGAGTAACGGTGTAAGGGCCGATTTGCCTTACCTGGAGCACCTGGGAAAGATACACAGGAGTCCACTAGCCACTAGAGCAGTGGTTCTCAGCCTTGGCTGCACATTAGAATCACCTGGGAATCTTTTTAAAATCCTGATTTCTGGGCCTCAGCCTCCAGAAATTCTGTTTCTTTGTTATGGGGTGAGGCCACAACATTAGTAACAAAGAAACAGAATTTCTGGAGGATGAGGCCCAGAAATCAGGATTTTAAAAAGATTCCCAGGTGATTCTAATGTGCAGCCAAGGCTGAGAACCACTGCAGTAGAGACAGAGTGAGGAAAAGAGAAAAAAGGGCATTCCAGGCACAAGAACAGACCAGAAATGCCATCTGAAAACACACACACACACACTCAGGCCAAAGAACGCAGGGAAGGATGGAGCCGTCAAACTACAAGTAAGCAGGAGGTGAGCACAGGAGCCCGTGTGCTAAGGTGCTCGGATGCTACGTTTTGAACTGGAAAACCACGGAAAAATGTAAGTGGGGAACCACAGACAGATTTGTGATCCAGTCAGTTCACTTTGGCAGCAATATGAATAGGTTGAAACAGGGCAAGAATAGTAATGTCTACAGCTGAAGGCCAAACAGATAGGATACTGCTAGTTGCTGTGATGTGTTCAGATTTCATAAGAAAAGACAGAACTACTTGCATTAGAGCCCTGCTCTGGGGGATCGCACGACAAACACCCAACACTAGATAAACCATGCTCCCCTTTTTCTCGTTCAGCATCACCTTGCACTTCAAAATTTCCTGTCCAGCTTCACCTGCTTTCAACTACTCTCAGAGGCCAGTGTTCATGGTGCCACAGGTGAAGATAGAGATGGAGTCAGACTGTGACTTCACAGACATGGACATGTACGGAAGAGACGCTGTCGGCGAGACCTCCCTCTAGGAGGCCACAGCGTCCCCAGAGAGGGGGCAGAGAGGGAGGGCATGGTTTAGTCTTCATCGTGAGGGTCTGGGCCACAACCCTGAACTTCTCGGAGCCCGTTTCCGTATTTATCAAACAGAGTCATTATTCCAGTTGATGAAAAACTGGGAATCCGTCAATGAAAAGTACTACTTAGGTGCAAAATCTCCCCTTCCTTTGTAGTTATGCAACAACGAAAGCAATATGTTATACATTATTTTAAAATACAGGTCAGCATAGAAATTATAACATTTCTTTTGAAATTAAAAAAAAGAAAATGCTTACCTCCCAAAACTGTGGTTAAAGGTGCAATAGTCCATTTTTATTGAAAATAAATTAACAGTTGAGAATTTTTTTTTTTTAATATATTTTATTGATTTTTTACAGAGAGGAAGGGAGAGAGATAGAGAGTTAGAAACATCGATGAGAGAGAAACATCGATCAGCTGCCTCCTGCACATCTCCCACTGGGGATATGCCCGCAACCCAGGTACATGCCCTTGACCGGAATCGAACCTGAGACCTTTCAGTCCACAGGCCGATGCTCTATCCACTGAGCCAAACCGGTTTCGGCGAGAATTTTTTTAAAGGTTAGATTTTAAAGTGTCTAGATGATTTTGAAAGAACTATCAAAATATCCGCACTTCGGTAGAGTAAGGCTGAAAAATTCATCTTGCAATTTTGCATATTAGGAAACACTTAAAAGTCCTATCTTTCCACTCCATCTCATTCCATTTGCTAAGGATCATACAAAAGCTTGAACTGTCTGCATTATGGGCCTTGCTCCAGCACAGAAGTGTGACTGAAAGGTCTGTTAATGAAAGAACCAACAGATTTGAGTGCATAAATATTTTTAAAATAGAAGTTCTTGTTAGAGTAAAACCTCAAACCACGTTAAATCAACACAATGATCCTTTGAATGAACATCACTGGTTTTTCATGCCCAGAATCAAATTTCTGGACTTGTAGGTAGGACCTTCCTGATTCCCAAAGTCAAACTCCCATTCGAATGAACATTGCAGTTAGGCAGAGCTGATGTCAAATTTTGGAAGAGTATAACTTTGTAATATGAAACTAATGCTTTAAAGGAATGATTCGAAGCAAGTTGGGTGGATTGAAACCCATTGTTAATGAAGCAAATCCTTTCCTCAAGGAACAAGATCAGTCTTTATCTTTAATCCATGTTTAGCAAACACCAACCATGTTTTCATTTAACTACTACTATGTGCCTAACAGCCACAATGCATCTGACATAAAACAACTGGAATTTGGATCTTGAGTAAATCACTTTGATTTGTTACTACATTTATTCAAGATGACAAATGCAGGTGCTTTTTCTTTACTCCTTCCTATTTTTTAGACAAAAAATCGCTTCTCGGCCTTTTGGCTAAGATCAAGTGTATTTTTTAGACAAATGACACAATTGTTGACAGCTTGAGTCAACAGAACAGTTCAATGTCTCTGTAATTCCTAAAGCCTAGTACAGTGACTGGTCCACAGAAAGCTTTCAATTGTTTATTAAAGTCTCAGCTCCCTTCCACGGGATACTGCCAAGAGGTAAAGCTCTAAACCTCTGTTACTTCTGATAGCAGCTGAATTACTTAGCTGCTCACTAATCTAGAACCATTACCTGAGTTTAAGTATAAATTCTTTATCTGTTCCTATCCTGGGGGAGCTAACAACCTACCCTTAACATTTCACTGTTAAAACTTGGCTGATTTTCAATAGCACTTCGTCCAAATTGAACTGTAGAAATGTTATGGATTCAGGAGTAAATGTGCTTGATTCATCAAACAAACTGAAAAACCACAATGTTAATTTTTTTGTTCTGATCACTGTAATTTTCACCTCATATGTCATTTATATGTTGTATATACATGAACATTTTAATGTTGATAGCTTTTAACAGGCTGACATGTTACTTCTCCATGCAGGTCAGTACATTTTTCCGCTTGTAACTGCAGTTCAATAAAATGTAATCCTGTCTGCTCCTCTTGCTCCATGTTTAATAATGTAGGTGAGTCAGCAGGCATGACTTATGGACACTAGCTACTCACTTACAAAAAACATCTCTAACAAACTAGCATCTTCTTTCATCTCCAGAAAATCATCAAAAGAATAAAGGCAGCTGGCAGAGGAACAGGAGGGAATAGGTCAACTCCCCATTGTTCTCCTTTCTCCGTCTGCCTCAAGCTGCCTGGAGCAGGAGCTGCTTCTGCCTGCGCAAGGGCCAGAATTCCCAGTCCTGGTGGGACCTATCCTAGCCTCCAAATGTGCAATACCTTCCAATCTGTCATCAATTACAAAAATTCACAGAGAGAGAGAGAGAGAGAGAGAGAGAGAGAGAGAGAGAGAGAGAAGAAACTTGGGAAGCACATCAAGTTCTTCGTAAACTGAACAATGTGTAAACTGAATGCATGGTTTAGAAAATACTCAGAACAACATTAACCACTTAAATGAATCTTACCGATTAAGATCCTGGCTTGGCACACCTGTTGGATGTAAGATTAAATGGACTAGGCTGGTTTCTCCACAGCTCTTTAAACCACTTTGTTTAAGGCACAGGAGTGGGTGTTACCACTTATAGAAATAGCTAGATCAATTACATCCAATGAGAAAACTTAACTATGGTTAGGTCACAACTAAGACAATACAGTAGCAGTTAGATACAGTATTTCAGAAACTCACTTCATACTAGTCAGAGTGTTTTATTTAAAAAACAAAATAAAACAAAAAACTTAATCAGAAAGTCTGATTAAATTCAATATTAACTCAATCTCTCAAAAACCTATTGGGGAAAGCCAATAGGTGCATCAGAGAAAGCAGGCAGCAGGCCGACAATTCTTTGGTGGAAAAGGCAGTTGCATATGTATACAAATGCCCTAATGATTATCAAGCCCAAGTTTTGTTTTTCAAAAATAGGTTTCAAGATCTACTAAAGAAACCATACAGACTTCCCCAACAGTACAAAAAAATTAACAATAAAGTTTAAGGATATAGGAAAAACCAAATATGACAATACACGTGAATTATTTACAAAATAAGCCTTTCGATCCCAGAAAACCAAAAGGGGACCTCATGAATGGCAACACACATAAAATAAAGGCTAATAGCACACAGGCATTTTCCCAACGACTAACTAAGCTTTAAAATGATAGGATACTATTTTTTTTTTTCTATGTCCCTGATTCTATTATAATCACCAGTTCATTCTGTTCATCAGATTATTTATTCACTGGATTCTTAGATTCACTTGTTGATAGATGCATATTTGTTGTTCATAATTAAAATGATAGGATACTATTAACAGGTAGCTTTTCTTCTGGTTATCAGTCAATATAAAATTAGGGTAAATTTTTTCTACTCAAATTATCATTTCTTCTTTTGTACCTTTTCCCTAATTTTCTCTAGCAACATTTTTCCTTTGGTTTGACCAGTTGAGCTCAAAAGGTTTGGAACCTAAAGTGAGTATCAACTCTTATTGGAATAGCACTTGGGAAATGCAATCCTGGAAAAGGCAATTTGTAACTGAAGTGGTCTGACAAAGTAAAGCAGCCCTTCTCAATGGGAGTGTCCCCCATGCAGTCACCAGGCTAATGGCTCCTCTTATGGCCAGATCACATGACCCAGCATGATAATGGCACGATCCCTGGTGAGGTACTGGGGAGAGCTATGTGCACAAGCATCCACCCACTTAAGCTTTCAATAAATACAAAGCACTGTTTAAAACCATGTCAGTAGAATAAATAAGAGATGCTGCATTTCTATTGGCCTGTTTTGCCTTTTGAACTGGCTTAAAGTACTGTTCACGACCCAGAAGACACACTAATTAGTTGCCACTCCAAGCTCTTTAGACTTCAGTACCACCTGCTCTTCAAGCCTCAGCACCTTTTTTGCAGCGATGATGGTATTCTTCATTAGCATCGCCACTGTCATGGGACCAACACCCCCAGGGACTGGAGTGATGTAACCAGCTTTTTTCCGGACTTCTATATAGAAGAAACAAGACAGCAGACTGCTTTAATTATGACAAAGGACATGTATGTATTTTAACTATCATGGAAGCATTGGGGGGGGGGGGGAGAAGCAATAATATACATAAGCACCTTCATAAACCTCAAACTCATAAAAATCACATCTAATTACTTAAGAGTAAAGGCCTTTGAACATACTAACAAAATAACATGCACATATTAAGCAAAGTTGTTCAAGGAGTATTTATACATCTGAATCACCTGTAATCTACCAGCCACACTTTCCTCCATATTAAATCTACTTAAAAAGAAACATCTCAGTAGGTTGACTGTAGGGGAGGTCTACCGTAAACATTACCTCAATTAATACCTGCCTACAACATTTTCTTAATTTTACTTTATTTATATACTATATTTATTCATAGTGTTTGCCCAAAATACCAAGCAAAGCAATTTTCTGGAAAGAAGCAAGATCTTTTTAATACAATCTTTTTAAATTGATTTTAGAGAGAGAGGAAGGGGGAGAGACAGAGAAACATGTATTTGTTGTTCCGTTCATTTATGCATTCACTGGTTGCTTCTTGTATGTGCCCTGACCAGAAATTGAACCTGCAACTTTGGTGTATCGGAACTATGCTCTAACCCAGTGGTCGCCAATCTGTGGTCCGTGAGGTCCAAAAGGCTGGCGACCACTGCTCTAACCAACTGGCCAGGTCTTTAACTCAATTTTAAGAGCACCTGGCCAGGTCTTTAACTCAATCTTAAAGAAAAAACACTTGGTTACCTAGGCTTGGGTCTTAAGAACTGAAAGGAGATGTCTACAGCACTGGTAAGTGCCAAATTTTCAAGAACATGGCTTTTTCCTGGACTGCTTTAACATTCCAGGTCTGGGATCCCCTCTTAAAATGAGAAATCTGTAACACTTTTTAGGAGACTCAGTGGTTTAGGAAAATCACTTCATTAAATTTTCAGACTTGTTAAAAGTCTTGAAGTTGTTTTAATTATAAAATAACCCTAAGGAAAAGCAATTCCCTGAAAAGTTTATACCTACTGTCTGTAATTTTATGACATAAACAACTAAAATAATTCTAGAATGTCTATAACTTGAAAAAACATCTCTTAATTCTCGTTGAACGCCTTTTAAATGGTATTACCAGAGTAACACAAGTTTAAAACTTATAAGAAAAAGTAAATGATTAGTCCTAAATGTCCATTAATGGTAGTATTTATTGATTTCATATATATTTTTAAATTATACTATTTACCTTCAAAATCCACATCTCCAACCAACTTGGGTTTAGCAGTGATAGGATCCTGAATTCTATTTATTCCCACATCAATGACGGCTGCTCCTTCCTTGATCATATCTGCTGTGATCAAATTTGGAATGCCTGGGGAAATGGAGACAGGAATGATCGATCACCTTACTGAAACATCTGAAAACGCCTGTCAGAGTCTTTTTTTTAATTTATTATTATTATTATTATTATTTTTAAAATATTTTTATTGATTTCAGAGAGGAAGGAAGAGGGAGATAGAGATAGAAACATCAATGATAAGAGAGAATCATTGATTGGTTGCCTCCTGTACACCTACTGGGGATTGAGCCTGCAACCTGAGCATGTGCCCTTGACTGAAATCGAACCCGGGACCCTCCAGTCCGCAGGCCGATGCTCTATCCACTGAGCCAAACAAGCTAGGGCTGCTTGTCAGATTCTTATCTAATTTCAATTTTAAGAGACCTGGAAGAACTAGTTAGCTTGTTTTATAAATACCTACAAGAACCATTAACCAAGGAAACATTTAAACTTCATATAGTAAATAGAAATCCTTTGAGACTATAGAAATAACATTCATCCATCAAGTCTATGATGAAATGACAGAAACCACTATACCAAGCACAACTCTTCCTTCATCTTTGTAGGCAGCTCATGGTGGCATCCTAGGGTAAGAATGAGTGGAATGGCAGCAAAGCAGGCAAGTTCTAAGGCAAGAGGCCCATCTTCTGATGTCCTTCCGTCCCCTTCCCTGGTGGTCTTACCTGCAGCAGAGATCACAATATCTGCAAGAATAGTATGTGTTTTCAGCTGCTCTTTGGGGGTGTATCGATGCGATATTGTAACAGTGGCATCACCTATGAATTAAAATTAAATGTCTTGATTTCTGAATCAAAGCTGGGATTGGAGTAGGTGTCAACTAGGCAAACCATTGTAGAAATTCAACATCTCTGAGGAAATAATTGACTTAATTCATGTGCCATATTTTCTGGACAGCCAATTGTCTTTTTTTTTTTTTTTTTAATTAATACTCAATTTCTTGTAACTTTTACCTGTTAGTTAGTCCTAGCTCTGATCTTTGGAGTCATATATAACTAGATTTCTTCTTTAGCCTGTTTAATAACAGTTTTTCAAGAATTTTACCTTTCCTAAATAAAATATCCCTAGAATTACTCAAGGGTTATTTTTTAAGTTTGCTAGAAATATTTAGTTTTGCCATTGTTCCTGATGTAATCATGTAGGTCCATATTATGATAATCACACATGGTAACTCTGATTTGAGGCTTTTTCTCAAACAAATGAACAGAATTTGACATAATGACACATTAGATTCATATGACGTCAATCCTTGGCAATGGTCAAAGATTTTTTTCTATCAAATGACACAGAACAGGATACTAACTTTGAAAAAGAATGGTCTCCTAACTCCAACTATCAAAGCCATTGCTGAAAATTTCTAATTACCTACAACCATGCTTATACTTATAAAACTTAAATTTTTGAGGCTTATTCATTTCTGAACTAGTTCCATAATAAATGAATGTAAATAAACTCTCAGGTGACACCGAGTACAGCTTCTCCTACAAAGATTATACCCCAAATATCTGTTAACAACATTACAACAAATGCAAACAAAGACAATGTTCCTTGGATGTTTGACACAGTGAACACTTGGTCCACAGGACAGCCTCTGAAGGCCTCCGTGACGGAGAAGACACGCTTCCGAAAGCGCTTCGCTTACCTCCAGGGCGTTCGTGCGCCCCGTCTGTGTGCAGCAACATTGCAATGGGCATCCCAACATTTTTGGACCTTCCAGCTACAACCACATTCTTCCCTAGGGTCGGAATGCCTATTAAACACACAGAGGGGGTCAATGAGGGGAAAAAACAGGGCATATGTAGTACTCTCAACAATAAAGAATTATTTTAAAAAATAATATATTTAAAAGCAATGCCAGACTGTCTTAGTGTACCAAAGGAAAAGGCAGATGGCCTAGGATGTGAATCTAATTATAATAATGAAGGAAGTCGTCAAGCTGATTGCCTCAGTCAATTGGCCCTATCGCTTCAAGGCTAAAGAAAACATTTTGTAAACTACAAAATGTTACATAAATGTGCACTACCACCACTACTAAAGTTTCCTTCTCTGAGGCTTCTGGATTAAGTAGCAAAAACAGTGGTAGGCACAGACAATAGCATGGAGAAGGCCTGGGGTGGGGTGGGGGTTGGGTGGAGGGGGTCAGTAAGGGAGAAGATGGGAGACATCTCTTAATATTATCAACAATAAAATTAAATTAAAAAAACAAACAGTCATAGGCGACTGCTGGAAAGGCTCTGGGGAGTCAGACTAGAGGTCATGGGCGGGAGTTCTCACTCTTACCATTTGCAAGTACTACGTTCATAATACTAACAGACATACCAGTTCGCTTAATGATCTCCCACACACCCCAGGGGGTAGCCGGTAACATGGAATACTGATCCAAACACATTCGCCCCACATTGATTACATGGAAGCCATCGACATCCTTGTCTGGAGAAACAGCATTGCAGATCTTCCTCTCATCTATGTGCTCTGAAAAAGAGGTCAGACCAGGGGCCTCAGTCACTGTTGCACAGTTACCACTGCTTGCCTCCAGCTTATCTGGTTTGTCCTGCAAACCTGCTCTTTCTACAACTTGCCTCTACGTGCCTCAATGATTTCCTTCTTCCATCTGCACAGAAGGGACACAGCAAGCACAGCCAAATGCCAGCATCAAAGCCCATTCCTCTTGCCCTAACCGGTTTGCCTTAGTGGATAGAGCGTCGGCCTGCGGACTGAAGGGTCCCAGGTTCGATTCCGGTCAAGGGCATATACCTTGGTTGCAGGCACATCCCCAGTTGGGGCGTGCAGGAGGCAGCTGATCGATGTTTCTAACTCTCTATCCCTCTCCCTTCCTCTCTGTGAAAAATCAATAAAATATTAAAAAAAGAAAAAAAGCCCATTCCTCTTGTATAACTCTCCCCTGCACTGTTCCTTGTATCAAGATCTCAAGGTCAAATCATGGAGTCATTGGTATTCTGATGTGGGAGAGGAAAAATTATTTTTCTTTCTATCGTTCTAGATTCTTCTAAATGGGCTAATAATCAAATTAACGTAAGATAGATTAACAGGAGAAAATGTCCAAATTTATTATGTATGTATATCCTGGGATTCCATAATATGACACTGGCCCTGGCTGGGTAGCTCAGTTGGTTAGAGTGTCATCCCAACGCACCAAGATTGCAAGTTCAATCCCTGGCCAGGGCAAACACAAGCATCAACCAATGAATGCATAACCAAGTGGGACAACTGATCGATGTTTCTTCTCTCTCTCTCTCTCTCTCCTCTCACAAAAGAAAAAGAAAGAAAAATAATATGAGACCCAGGACAGATTAGGCAGTTAAGGCTTATATACGATTTTGAGCGAAGGAGAAAGGGGGTTGTGGTTGGGGAATGGCAGGTAATTCACATGGAAAAGCCAATGTTTGGTGAATAAATGTTGGTTGGACCATCTCTAACAATGGGACACAGAGAAGACTTTGATTAAAGGGGCTTGCTAGCCTTCTCTCTGCTTATACCTGTTCACGTCCCTGTGATGCTATCTCCCTTCCTGGAACAGGACCACGATCTAAATTCCCTTAGGCAGTTACAGGGAAGGTCAAAGGTTTACCTTGAGTCTTTTGTTTCTTGAAAATAACCAGCTTAAAAAAGCCGCATCTTAGGGTGGCAAACCCTGCTTCCCCTCGTGGAGTAGGTCTGCCCCAAATCCAATAAAAAATTCACTCTCTGGATTTGACCTCCCCTTGGAGTCAGATTCACACTAGGGGCCAGCAGTATAAAGTAACCAGGCCTCTCCGCTCCTCAGAAATCCTTCTAAATGGTGGAGCCCAAAACTCACCAGGAAGCGGCAGCTGAACAAGGAGGCCATCGACATTATCATCGTTATTTAGTTTATTGATTAAGTTCAACAGTTCTTCCTCTGAAACTGAAGCAGGTTTCACAATTGTCTCACTGTTGATTCCTATAAGAAAATTTCAAAGTTAAAAAATATTGAGGCATGCCCTAGCCAGTTTGGCTCAGTGGATAGAGCGCCAGCCTGTGGACTGAAGGGTCCTGGGTTTGATTCCTGGTTAGGGCACATGCCCGGTTGCAGGCTTGGTCTCCAGCAGGGGGCGTGCAGGAGGCAGCTGATCAATGATTCTCTCTCATCATTGGTGTTTCTATCTCTCTCCCTCTCCCTTCCTCTCTGAAGTCAAAAATATATTAGAAATATATATATATTGAGGCATTTAATGAGCAATGTGATGTTGCCTGCCACAGTCTTCCGCCATTGAGGTTTTTGTTATCAATCCACCCCTGGTAGCTGAAAAGCATTAATCAGCTCAAAACGAACCTGAAACAGTAACGTCACAAATATATACACTAGAGCAGTGGTCAGCAAACTGTGGCTCTTTGGCCCCTTGAGTGTGGCTCTTCCACAAAATACCACGTGTGGGCACGCATGTACAGTGCGATTGAAACTTCGTGGCCCATGCGCAGAAGTCGGTATTTTGTGGAAGAGCCACACTCAAGGGGCCAAAGAGCCGCATGTGGCTCGAGAGCCCGCAGTTTGCCGACCACTGCACTAGAGAATGCTAGCTTGACCTTTCTATATATTATTTATGCAATCCTCATCAACCTCATTTTGTAGACAGGAGACTGAGGCACGGCGAAACTGAAACAAGCCAGCCAGTGGCGGAACCAATCTTCCCGTTCCAAAGTCCCTGTTTCCCCCTGCAGCATGGTACCTCCCAACGTCTTAGGAAAGCATGGCTTGCTCTATTCCAGAGGCTCTAAAGCAGTGGTTCTTAACCTGCCCAATGTCGCGACCCTTTAATACAGTTCCTCATGTTGTGGTCTGACCCCCAACCATAAAATTATTTTCGTTGCTACTTCATAACTGTAATGTTGCTACTGTTATGAGTCGTAATGTAAATATCTGATATGCAGGATGTATTTTCATTGTTACAAATTGAACATAATTTAAACATTGTGATTAATCACAAAAACAATATGTAATTATATATGCGTTTTCCGATGGTCTTAGGTGACCCCTATGAAGGGGTCATTCGACCCCCAAAGGGGTCGCGACCCACAGGTTGAGAACCACTGCTCTAAAGGTTTTCCAATGAGAAGGGCAGGAGTCCTCACTCTTAGTTATAAAGAATAGAGTATACCAATCGAAAAATATATATACCAAGGGCTCACGGTCCAGGAACACTGCCCAGTCACGCCAATCCTTGCACAGCCCTTCAGAAGGACAGGGCACCTGCTCAGACTACTGACCCAGAGATGTCTATCCCCACACAAAGCCTGTGGTACAGTGAGAGCTAGACCACAAACCTCCCGCCACCCATCCAGACCCACGCCTTCGGCATTCAAAACTTCAACCACTTCTAAACTGCAAGGTTTAACTGGATTTGGAATCAACTGGTGAAGAAATCAAAAGCTATTTCCCAGAAGTCAGGGTTATTCATTTCCTTCAACTCTATGCTGTGTCCTAGGCTACACCACTGAGGTCCCCTCAAACGGCCCCACCCCCACTCTGTTGCCGTAAAGTGCTCAAACACCTCAGATACTCTCATCATTGCTCAAGAAAAGCAGATGTGTGTTCAAGGCCACCTGTCCAATGTTAAAACCAGAGGCAAAGATAAGATAAACCATATTCCTTTCATCCTAGTCTATAAGCCTCCCCAATAGACTCACCCTGTTCTGACAAAGTTTTGCCTATTGTTCATATTAGCTTCTTCTGCTTGGGTTTCTAGTCAGAAAAAAAAAAAAGAGTAATAAATGACAATGGGGTTTGCCCTGGAGAAGCCTCACTTGAACAGCAGTCCGATCCGAGTGTGACACCTACCCACATCTGCAGCAGCCTTGGTTTTGTTGAGGACATAGGAATGACTTGCAGGATTCTCGCCAACCAGAACCACGCTCAGGTATGGCCGCTTGTTGCCGGCTGCCACCCACTCTTCCACCTCCTGCCGCACTTCCTGCTTGATCTGCTGGGCAAGTTTCCTTCCAGAAATGACAACAGCTTCATTTCTGCAGAAGGCGACAGAGATACAAAACCAAATACTGGCTTGAGTTTTTGTAAAAAAGATCAGACTACAAAAAGAGTATGAAATACCCCAAATTTTGAGGGATAGGAGGAGGGGAATTGGAGGAAAGGGGTCAAAAGGAACAAATTTCCAGTTATAAGATAAATAAGTACCAGGAATGTGATGCACAACATGATCATAGTCAACACTGCTGCATGACATAGAGGAAAGCTGTTAAGAGAGTAGATGCTAACTAAGAGTTCTCAGCACAAGGAGAAAAAACTTTTTTTCTTTTTGTTGTGTCTGCATGACGTGACATGAATGTTAACTAAACCTATTTGGTAATCATTTCACAATATAGACAAAGCAAACCACCATGTTGTACACCTTAAACTTACACAGTGGTGTATGTCAATTATTTCTCAATAACGTAGGGGGAAAAGACCCAAAACCTACAGTTTAAATTAAAATACATGGTGCCTAACCTGGGGAACAAGTGTAATCTGAAGCACAAATTCAAAGTGGGAAATCTGTATTCAGCTACATATGCAGGAGTATAAAGGCTGGCAGGGGAGTGTTTAGGGGGTGATCAGGCTGGCAGGCAGAAGCGGTTAGGGGCAATCAGGCAGTCAGGCCAGATTGGAGAGTACAGGCTGCGCTGAGGGACACACACACTCCCAGCCCTGTGCACAGCACAAATTTGTGCACCAGGCCTCTAGTAGATAAATAAAATCATTGTTTTATTTCACCCGCTCACCACTGTGAGGTTAAATAGTTCTTCCTATGTGCTGATATACCATTTGTAGTTTGTGTTTTGCCCATGTTGCTAGCACCCAGTCATATGACAGAGAGAAGAGCAGTCCTGTTAGAGGGAAAACTGCTGGTTGGGGTGGGGCAATGAGGAAACTCAGGTTTGGAGGAACCTCTAGCCACCAAAACGGTGTTCAGATCTCTGAAAGGCTATCTCTTCCCAACGAGAACTGGGAACTGGTTAGACAGCTCTCCCTGCGTTCCAATATGGAAGATTCCTGGTTTTCCTATTTCCACACAAATCCTTACAACAAAGTTCCCATTACGTAAAGTAGGATAAGCATCTGTTCCTTAAACACAAAGGTGCCACTGAAAACAAGTCTTTCCCTTTAGATTTGTGTCCTCAGTGTCATGAGGAAGGCTCCAACCTCAAGACCAATGAAGCACAACTGTTGAAACATTAAAACAATCTACTTGCCCTCGTGGCACATATTTAATTTTCAAAGATAACATCAAGGTACTGGATGACTTGTATGGTCAGATATGATCAATTCTCAAAGCCTATTAATTAAGACAGAATTTTAAAGTTTCAACAGTCTTTACGCCTTCATTGTCTGCTTTTTATTTGCATTATGATTAAATAAATACTTTAAATCTCAATGTCTTAGATACAATGCAGTAATTTTATATTTAAACCATCTATTAATCTGTATTTGCATCCTGTGAGGTATGAAGAAGATATCATTTTATAGCAAATCAAATACTTTTTTTTACAAACCAAATACTTTTACCAGATTATATGTAATAGTACTAGCACAGCACAAATTAGTAATAGCATTTCATATAGATCCATGGTACATTAAGGAATTGGAAACATGTTAATATTTACAAATCCAGTTCAGAATTAGAGTTGAAGGGGACTTCAATAAAAGGGCTCTGCTGCCCTAGCTGGTTTGGCTCAGTGGATAGTGTCAGCCTGCGGACTGAGGGGACCCGGGCTAAATCCCCAGTGGAGGCTGTGCAGGAGGCAGCTGATCAATGATTCTCTCTCATCATTGGTGTTCCTATCTCTCTCTTCCTCTCTGAAATAAATAAAAACATATGAAGAGAAAAAAAAAAAGGACTTTGCTGACGACACAAGTACCCCTGGCAACATGCCTGATCTATATTAGTACCAGGAGTACCCCACCCCCCACCCCCCAGGCCAGAAAAGCATTTTGAAATCTTAGGACACTATAGAGTGAAAAACTACAGAGGGCTTAGGACACTCATTTATATTGAATGAAATAACATATAAACTTCTAGGGGTATATATTCAATAAAAATTAATTTCTTACTCTCTTCCATTGGTTAGATTTATATTCACACATACATACATATGTATCCTTAATATGTAATAGATATATTTATCTACTTATATACTCATAAGGATATATATAGATATATAGATATAGGAATAGGTATAGATATGCATATACATATATAAGTATTCTGTGAGAAGGACATAGCTTCCACTTCATCAAAAAGTTCCTTTTGAAAGCAATAAACTTAGAATGTAACAGCACATTTGGGCTAAGAACGATACACTGAAGTTAAGGATACAGGGTTCTGGAATAAACAAACCAGTGTTCCAAGTCCCAAAGGCAGATTCTGGATGTTGTGCCAATTTGCTTAAAAAAAAAAAAAAAAAAAGACAAAACTGTCAAAGAATAACAAGAACCAAAAGAAAAAGCCACAGTGCTTTTTCTTGTAATGTAACCGTTTCAGCCCTCCTCTGCATACCACAGCTCAGCAGCATGTGGAACAGCCCAGCAAGTGAGTCATCACCTAACTTCCCATCATCTTTCCTGCCAAAGGGCAGATACCTCAAAATAAACAGAAATACAGACTCAGTTCCATGGGAAACCCAACGTACATTAAGAATATTAGCTAATACTTATTCCGCAATGTAGTGCTTTCACAATGTGTTTAGAAAATTTTCCGTTAAAATTATGAAAAACTAGAAAGAAGTCACGAGGATTATTCAAAATCAAAACTAAAACTCTAGTCAGTAGCATCTCCATTTTCCTCCAAATCCAATGAACATCAGGTGCATTTTACAATTCAAGATCAGATTATTTTAGAAAGAATTCTTTTTTTTAAATATATTTTTATTGATTTCAGAGAGGAAGGAAGAGGGAGAAAGAGATAGAAACATCCATGATGAGAGAGAATCATGGATCGGCTGCCTCCTGCCACTGGGGATAGAGCCCACAACCCAGGTATGTGCCCTTAACTGGAATCGAACCTGGGACCTTTCAGTTCACAGGCTGACGCTCTATCCACTAAGCCAAACTAGCTAGGCTAGAAAGAATTCTTGTTATCTACTGGTTAATGGAACCAGAAATGGATGAAGACAGACACAAAGTAGGATGGAACTAATATCTATTAAACACTAGGTATTTTGCTAAGACTTTTGCATTCATTACTCTCAGTTATCTTGGGGCTATTATAATAACCCTGTTATGCAGAAGGGGAAACTGAGGACAGTAGATACAAGATACAAATGCAAACCTCTGCCTCCAAAGTCCCCTTTTCCCTATACCCCACTGTCTCCTAGCCTACAGTTCTCTCTCTCTCTCTAACCATGAGTTTATGTTCGTGAAACTCTCAGACCAATCCCCTAAAAGAAATAAATGTAGCCTCTTTAAAAATAAAAAATAATCTTTTTTTAAAATTCTATATGCCAGCAGTAAAGCAGTACAACGGAACCATAAATACCAAACTGAGTATTGCCCTCAGAGATGTGGCAGTCCATTTGTTTATTCAGAAAGGCAAGTAAAAGGAGGGTATTAGTGGCTGGAGAGCAAGCAAACTGGTCCAGTTCTGTAGGTAATAAATTAGAGGACGTTTATAAACCTCTTCTCAATCATAAAAGCCACAGGTCCATGTGGCCAGAACTCAGGAAGGGAGGAAGGAGGAGGAGAACAGACTGTAACAGAGGTGCTGGAGAGGCAAGTCAGGCTCAGACCAAGAAAAGCCTTAAAAAAAAAAGAAAAGAAAGAAAAGCCTTGAGTGCCCCCGCCCCCAAATCTTCTTTCAAGAGCACACGAATCCGCATTCTGTGCTTCTACAGCTCCGTGGCCATGTCTCTAATAACATTTTACAGCGAGAGGAAATGACACGCGTGTCTTCTGCCCCTTGACAGGTGAGTTCCATTAAAGAACAGTTTCTATCACCTCTGAATTCGCACAGTAGGGCGCAGCCCCGTGCCTGTTACCAGGCTTAGGTCCCTGGCAATGCTAGGGTTCTAAAGATGAAAAAGCGCACAGATTTAGGGAGAGAAATCACAGCCACCCCGGAGAGTCTTCAATCTAGGTTTAAGAATGAGAGTTTGAGCTCACAGGGAAAAGCTAATACCTCCCTATGAAACGCAAACAGAGAGCCCCTCCTCCTCCTTCCCCCCGGTGTTTCTCAGCGCAGTTGACACTGCCTGGCATTGACCAGCTCTCGGGTGGGCAGCAGCCGGGCCGGTGATCACAGCACAGCATTTATTCCCTGGGAGGGAAAGGGCCGGTGTGGGGAGGCGCGAGCCACACCCCCCTCCCGGTGCGGCGGGGAAGTGCGGTACCCGGAGCGGCGCGGCTGGGGATTTCATCAGACTGCACCAACCCCCGCCGCCGCTAGGGTCCCCGGGAGGGACGGTCGCTGGAGGCTGCTCATTCGGAAGCCTTCCCGGCGCGCGCCAAAGCGTCTCCTCTGCTTTCACCGAGACGGATCTCGGCATCACCCACCTCGGCATGTTCCTGGGCGCCCCAGAGCGCGCCAGTGCCTCTGCTCCGCACCGGGGACCCCGTCCCGCCAGCGGGCTGGCCCCGGGACAGATCGACGCCCCGAGCCCGCGGGAGACAGGCTCCCCCCGAAAGGCTGGCACTGGTAACAGCCCACCGCGCCGGGCGAGCACCCAGGTCACTGGCCGCAGCCGCGCTCGGCTGCCACGTCGCCCCGCCAGTCCTCTCGGTGGACAAGCCGCCCCGGACGCAGATGCTCAGGAAGTCCCTCGGAGTCCCTCTGGAGCCCCGGCGACCCCGCTCCCCACTCTCTTACCGAACAGCCGAGAAGTGGAGCGGACAGTGACGGAGGCAGCAGTTCTGTGCGGGTCGCAGCAGCCGGGTGGCCAACGCGCACACGAGGGATGAAGCAGCCATGCCCCGCAGCGGCGTCGGAGCCCGAAGAGAAGCGCGCGCGCCGGCAGCGCGGTTATACCGCGGGCGCGTGTCGGGCCCCGCCTCTCGCCGGCACCCATTGGTCCCTGTCCAGTAAAGCCTTGCTTGTGATTGGAGCAAGGAGAGCCCCGGGAGAGGCCCTGGAAGGCTCGGAAGCCTTGGGACCATGCGGTGATTGGCTGAGGAAGGCAAGCCCTTGCCAGACGCAGCTGGTCGCCGAAGCCCCAACCAACGCGAGCATTTGTTCATTCGTTGCTGGAACAAATAAACACCTGCGCGCCTACTGTCCGCCTGTTACTGTAAAGAGTGGCCAAAGAGGTGGACAGATAAAGTGACAACTAATAAGTGTAAAAGAGTGGGGGCGTTAGAAAACAACTAATTTGGTGAACCATTGATTCAGAATCGTCAATGGATGTCAAAACAATTGGGTGAAGTTGGATTTGGAACAAGGTATTCACATGTAGGGCTCCCAGATCCTGCAAATAAAAATACAAGATGCACCTGAAACTAATACAAAATAATATTGACTGCATACTGTCATTGAAAAATAAAATTAAAATAGAGTATCTCTTATTTGCTGGAAAAAAAAATACAAGACACAATGAAATTTGAATTTTAGGTAAATAATTTGGGAAGATGGCCATACACTTTTTAAAAAGTACTTGTTGATTATCTGAAATTTAAATAAATTTTGGCTTCCTGTATTTTATCTGGTTGCCCATTGCATAGTCTCAGATTATCCTCTTCTGTGAAATACGTATTCATAGCAAGGGTAAATTTACAGTCCAGAACCCTACAATCATCACTTTAACCAAGTGATCAAAGTAACACCACCAGTAATGGACAGACATATATTGTATGCCTCCAGGTACGATGCAGTGAGAGGACATAGCACTTCATAACTCTTTTTTTTTTTTTTTTTTTTTTTGGTGCCCTTGACCAGAATCGAACCTGGGACCCTTCAGTCCGCAGGCCGATGCTCTATCCACTGAGCCAAACCAGTCAGGGCTCACTTCATAACTCTTAACATGGCTGAAAGGGCCTCAGCTTGAGGGGAGAATGGAAATAGAAATAACAAGCAGTAAAGGCATTTCCAGCCAGGAGCCCAGCCTGCCTGCTCCTCTCCCAAGCACCCCTGTGCCCTGCCACCCCGGCAGCTGAGAGGGGCCAGGCTGAGAGCAGGTAGCATCTGTACCGCTGAGGCTGATTTCAGCCAGGCCTTGGAGCTGCTGGGCTGCCTGCTTGCTCCACTGTCCTTTGGTCTCTAGGAGAGAGGTGGGGCTGGGTGACACCTTCTCAGGTCTCTTTTAAGAACAGAGAACCCCTCTCACACCCTTGGCAACCCTGAGGCCTTGTGCCTTCCCTGGAGTGGGGAGTCCAAGTGGAAATTTGTCTCCAGGAGCCAACAGTCTCTGTTTTCCATGGCAAGAGGGCAGCTGGGGGAGGGGCGGGAAGCCCAGGGTGCCGGCTGCCCACTGTGGGAGGAAACTACAGATGCCTGAGCCCAGCCTTGCAGGCCTCCAGGACTAGCTTTCCCACTGGGCCGCCTGCTGTCCCTTTACTGTGCTGGGTGCCTCCCACCTCCAGGCCCCTGCCCATGCCTGTCCTTCTGCCTGGAGTGCCCTCACCCTGCCTCTACCTGACGGAAAACTCCCACCTCCAAAGCCCAACTCAAGAACCAGCCATGCCCAGAAGCTGCCCAGGCCTGGCCCTCCCCTCACCATCCCTAAGGTTTTTTGTCTTTCAACCACGATCTGCCTCAATGATAGTTCCTTGTACTCATGTCTCAGCTCCCCTCCGGATGGGGGCTCTCAGAGGGCCTGATGCACCATTCATAATAGTAAAAACATACAAGCAACTAGCACTCACTGAACTCCTGCTCGGTGCCAGACTCTCCCTGTTATCTCTGTTAGTCGTCCCCCTGACTCCGTGAGGAAGGTGTGGCTCTCCCCACTTTACAGATGAGGAAAATGAGGCACAGGGAACAAAGTGACCTGGCCAGGCCTCAGGCTGGTGAGTGGCAGAGCTGGTGTCTAGTCCATGCCTACCCATGTGGGACCACTCCGCCACCTGTGTTCCCAGCCAGAGCACAGGGTCTGGCCCTTGGTAAGGGCTCAGCAGAGGTTTGTTGAATGAATCAGTGATCCATGGCATGGGGAAATAGGACTCAATCATTCAGGCTTCCCTGCCTCCTCACCCCTCTGTCCTGAGACCCAGTGCCACAGAGTGAATGGGCTGCCCACTTCCTCAGTGTCCCAGATGTTCCAAGGATGGGCCCTGGTTTAGAATGCTGCTTTCATTCTCACTGCTGTGTGACAAGCCCTCATGTCACCTCTCCCAGCCTCACTGTCCTCACCAGTCAGGTGGGTTAATAGTGTCCACTGCCCAACAATTGTTGGGGTGACCAGCAAAGGACTAAGCACCACGGTTCCGGGGGGGTGGGGTAGGGCGGTTCCTCCTCCTGTCACTTGAATCCAAAGGAGCCGCCACATGCAGAGGGCACGTGGCCTTTTCTTCTCTGTCGTGAGCAGAGCAGTCTGATGCAGGCCAAGAGGATGGGCTGGGAGGATGGGGCCCAAACGGGTCACCTGTTGTGTGCCAGTCAAGGGCATGCCCGGGGTGATGGAGACAGGCTGAGAACTGGGCTGGCGCACGGCACGCACCCCGTACATGTCAGAGTGTGCCTAGGCTTGCTCCTTGTCAGACCTTTCAGGGTGTGATTGCCTGCCCCCAGCCTTGGCAGGAGGAAATCAGATGTAGAAGCTAGTGGCTGCAGTGAAAGAGGCTGGGGCTAGAAGGAGGTGTGGGACAGGACAGGGTTTGGGGAGGAGGGAGTGAGTGTGCCGAGGGCCCAGAAGCCAGCAGGGAGGAGGCTTTCTAGAGTGGCGGGGGGAGCAAGCAGAAACCCAGAGAACAGGACAAGCCCAGGCCATGGCCTGTGGAGGTGCTGGGGGAGGGCTTTCCAGCCAGGGCTTGCCCTCCCAGCCCCCCAGGAGGCTCCTACCCCAAAGGAATGAGTGCTTCTTCTCTCCTGGACAGGTCCCCAGTGGTCCTTGTGGGACCCAGCTCCTGGCTGTCCCCGGAAGGTGGGTCCTGGCTCTACCCCACTCTACAGAGGGGGAAGTAAAGCCCAGAGTGTTGAGAGCTTAATCGTGGTCACACTGAGGTCAGTGTGCACCCGACGCTGGCTCGCTCAAAACTCCACCTCAGGGCAAATTTTTGTCACCATTTCTCGCTCAAGTAGAGTACACTTTCATGCCCTAACCGGTTTGGCTCAGTGGATAGAGCATTGGCCTGCGGACTGAAGGGTCCTGGGTTCGATTCCAGTCAAGGGCATGTACTTTGGTTGCAGGCACATCCCCAGTGAGGGGTGTGCAGGAGGCAGCTGATCAATGTTTCTCTCTCATCGATGTTTCTAACTCTCTATCCCTCTTCCTCCCTCTCTGTAAAAAATCAATAAAATATATATATATATAAAAAAAGAATAGTACACTTTCAGAAAAAAGCCTCTAGTGGGTACCGCAGGACATGCCCGGGTGACAAGGGTGACAAAGGTTTTCTTCAGTACGTCTGGCTCCTGCCTGAATCCCTTCCCCCACCCCCATGGCATTTATAGCTTCTCTCTCTGACACAGGGCAGTGGAGCATGAGGCTAAGAACTGCTGTGAGGAGAGTTCCCCACAGCCACTACTTTTTTTTTTACTCCTCACCCGAGGATATTTTTTCATTGATTTTTAGGGAGAGTGGAAGAGAAAGGGAAAGAATGAGGGAAAGACATCAATTAGTTACCTCCTGCACAAGCCCCGATTAGGGCCCAGGCCAGGGAGGATCCTGCAACGGAGGTACGTGCCCTTGGCTGGAACTGAACCTGGGACCCTTTGGTCCACAGACTGACGCTCTATCCACTGGGCCAAAGGGGTAGGGCCCCATGGTCACTACTTTTATAACCTTTCCCTTCGGTCCTCATCTAACTGGAACTTTGAAGGTCATTTCCTAGAGTTGACTCCTCTCTTATTCTTCAACACTCTGCTCTTGCTTTATCACATCCCTCCCTATTTCTCGGACTGTTCCTTTGCTGGGGGTCTTTCCCTGCATCTAGAAGGGTTCAGGAATCTGGAGAAGGGGCTGTGGTAAATTAATAAAGAGACTAGACATGAAATATAAATTTGGAAGGCATTCTTGGGAGGAGCCAGAAGAGACTTAGCTATAGTAACCAAGTTCTCCTAATCTCTGGACCCAAGGTTTTTTATTCACATATTGTTGCCCTAAAGCAAAGCAAATATACATATCAAAGGTAAGGTTTGGTAGACAGTAAGATTATCAGGTGGGGGGAACTGCCTTCGGCTGTTCAGCTGTTTGGCCAGCAGCAGGTACTAACATGTAGATTTTCAGCCCTGCTGAAAGCCCCAAGGTTCACCGACCTTAAAAAAAAATATATATATATATATATATATATATATATATATATATATATATATATATTTTATTGACTTCAGAGAGGAAGGATGAGGGAGAGAGACATAGAAACATCCATGATAAGAGAGAATCATTGATTGGCTGCCCCTGCAAGTCCCCCACTGAGGATCGAGCCCACAACTCGGGCATGTGCCCCTGACAAGAATTGAACCTGGGACCCTTCAGTCCACAGGCCGACGCTCTATCCACTGAGCCAAACCGACCAGGGCTCACCAACCTTTTGATGAACTTCTTGCATTTATGACCTGCTGGAATTAGCCCCCAGCATTCCTTCTCAACCTCCTTTGTCACAGTCTTCTCCTCTATGTGGCCTTTAAATATCAGGGTTCATCAAGGCTCTCTCCTGGCACCTCTTACTCTTTACCTTCACTGTTGGCAGCGAGAATGGCACCAGGTGTAGATCAGACCAGACCTGGGTTCGGCAATCTCGGCACTTGAGTTCTGGCTAGGAAAGAATTCAGAGCCAAGACTCAAACTATAAGACAAAGATTATTTAGAAAGTCGCAGAGGTAGAAGAAATGAGTGGTAGAAGACATGGGCTCAGGAAACC